CCTTCTTAGTGCTGATCAAATTCCTTCGACCACGTTGAAATGTGGACACTAGCCTAAATGACTTGACATTTCAAGTCACTGGCAACACTAGGTGACACGGGATCAAATCCACCACCAGTGAGCATTAGTTCTCTAAAGATGAGTGGCAAATATCACGAAACCTAATTCCAGAGTTTCATGTCGTCAGAGGTTTTAACATTAAGACACAAATCCAGAGTGAAAGGAGCTTTATAGATTTCAATGCTTTCCACAATTCATCTAATCTAAAAAGAAATATTCATAACCAAATGGTTATCTCGTGTCAATTTAGTCAGTATCTATATTAACCGACCAAGACTAATTAAAATTCATCTAAGAATATTAACACAATCAGGTCATTCAACCATTTACTCATAATGATAAACTTCTTTTTCTCTCTATACAATATCTGAATCTATTTATAGCCTGTCTATTATGTTCTCTTTAAATGTAACATTTTCACAATTTTCATTCAATATTTCTAATACGTAATGAGGTGACCTAGTAGCCTTAGAAATGTGCAATTTCTTCTCTCTCTCTTTCTCTCTCTAATCATTTACAATTACACAAACATTATCATAATATGAAAGTATGCAAATTATTGATTTCATTCGTGAAAATATATCGGTTCATATTCCATCCCTATCTTCCTTCCAACCTCTCCCTCACGAAATAACTGAGCTACGATATTGATCTATATTACTTGTTACTAATCTTATATCTATGATCATTGTCATAGATGAATAGATTAGATGGAATTATCTTTAGTTATATGTAAATCAGTTAATTTTTGAAATCATTAATAGATCTAAGTTAGAATATCATTGAAAATTTAGAAGTAGTTCATGGCAGTTTCGTCTTAGTATAAGATTCTTCAATAATACGTATCCATAACTTGCAGACTGGGAATCGAACCGAAGATCTAATTTGGATAGATATTATTTAAATTAGTTAAATTAACTGGAAACAATGCTAAGTATCTCTAACAAGAAGAATTTTAATAAATGTGCTTAACAGTAACTTTCTTAGTTAACATTTGTTTAGCATTATTCAATAGTTTGACATCCAAAGCCTTGACATAATATACATTCTGACCGATATAATTAACCTTGAGTTGAAGCTAACGTATATTTAATCGCTATTGGTCCTTTTATTACCAACCTTCAGTCTGAATAAGAGATATAAGACAAGCGTCTATCATTGCTATTATTACTATTCCAAGAATATATGGTTTTATATAAAGACATAGTGGGTTGAACCGTAACATAAAATAGAAAATCATAGTTATGTACATATAGACCAGAAGTGACAGTGAATCGAGCAAGTGGTAAGTATTTGATTAGTAAAAATTTTGAATTGCTAAAACGTATATGCAAAGATGGATAGTGGCCAGCAGTAGAATCCAGGATGTGTGTTTCGTCCTATTTTGGGACTCATCAGCTTGACATACCTGCATCTCAGAGTCAATGTTCATCCTGGGACTCGAGCCTAGTACTGTCCGCTTCTAATACTATCACATTATCCACTTAGCTACTGAGTACTGATATCCACTTGCTTGTGCAACAGGGTAGCTAAGTGGATAACGCGATGGCCTTTGAAGCAAACGGCACTGAGTTTCAGTCAAAGATTGAAAATCAACAGTGAGACGCAGGTATATCCAGCTGACGAATTCCAAATGGAACGAAACGCACTTTAACCTGGATTCCATTGATAGTCATCATCCATCTTTGCACATAATGCTTGTGAATTAAGTCTATATCAAGGCAATCCGTACAGGATACACATATGTCAATAAAACACTGATCAACTGCAGTCCTATACAACAATGGTAAGATTCAAACAAGCAATATCAAATGAACTAAAACATATAGTTGCTGTTAATTGATCATTTGGAAGTTTACAATAATACAGAATATTGAATCATATAGTACTTCAGTTATTTAGTAATTATATAATAAGAATATATCAAATAAAAGTCTGTTAAAATAGTTTCAATGTTAAAAGAATATTGAAAACATGTGAGTACTCAATAGTCCCTTCATGCCAGTATAAAGCCATTCAGCAGTACACATAAAATTCGAACAAAGAACTTTCGGTTTCATATGTGAACACTTAGCTTCTAGAATACTGAATCGAAATCTGACAGTTTTAATGTTTAACTTTAATCAATCCATGATATTACGCGACTATCTTCAACTGTCTTCGATGGATAATTACCTCAAACCTAACACGGAATAGACTGCATTAGTTCGTAAAATTGTTAGAGTTTGCGTTCTATTACAAAGTTAATCGATAATTTACATCTTTGTCGAAATCAAAATCATACATACATATTGAAAGTTTCCATTTTTTCCATCTTTTAAAGAAAACTCATGACGTCTCTAGGGTATAAATCGATAATATTTAATGCCTCGGTTAGAATGTAGATCGCTACTAAGCTAATGTTTAGTAAGTATTGAATAAATGTTATACATTGTCAATTGCATCATTTGCTTACGTTGTTTTTGTTTTCTTGAAGTTTTAATAAAAGATACTTAGAGAAATGATGAAATGTGTGCCTTAATAAACAATATGGACTCCAGGTTCTATGATTATAAGTGAATGTCAATGGTTAAGATCATGAGTCAGTTGAAGGTAGACCACCATGGGAAACCTGTAAGCACCGGACAGCCGTTTCGTCCTATTATGGGACTCCTCAGCAGTGCGCACCCACGACCTCGCCCCCTGCGAGACTCTAACCCAGGACCTGCTGGTCCCCCGCTCGAGCATCTAACCATTAGACCACTGAGCTGGCCGGCATCTGATGGTGTTATTGTCTAACTTCAACTAATCCACATCCACCATTGTCTTCAGTGAGTTACTATCTCACAATAGAGCTGATTGAACTCCACTGGTCACTAATTCTCACTATAACTCCAGGATATACCTCTTGAAGCCAGTCACTAGTGAGCATATATTGATTATTATCAGAAGGGGTTTCGTGGAGATTGTGGTGTAATTTCAATGGTTAAGTGTATATTAAACCAGTTTTATATTCTGATATTCTTTTTAATATTACATTGGTATACACTTTGATGATTTCATCTTGTTCTATTGAGATGATGTAACAAATTAACTCATTGTATATTTGTACTAGTTTCCGTGATATTGATAACTTCCTTCCTAATACTATTTTCGGATTCTATTATTAGTTTACACTCTGAATTCAAATAAAAAGTAACTGATCAGAAAGGAAAAATATTCTACATGGAAATAACACCTCATCTTCAGCTTAGTCATCTTCTTTATACTAAATTGTATTAGTCTTTGTTCATGAATACAATAGTAAGTCACTAGTTGTGTTCGTAGGATGTAATAAGTAGTTGGTTAGTAGTTTAGTAAGATATTGCATCATGAAATTAAGTGTACATACAGCCAACGATTAATGAAAAGACATTATTATTCAATATATCATAAGTAGTCTTATATTAATGATTTCGAAGAACAGCTAATATTCAAAAATCGATGGAATCCGAAAATTTGTACCCACTATCTAACTATCTATCCACACAACTATCTATCTATCTATCCACTCATCTATCAATCTATCTATCTATCTATCTATCTATCTATCTATCTATCTATCTATCTATCTATCCACTCATCTATCTATCTATCTACACATCTATCTATCTATAAAAGAGAACAAGTGAGACTCTGTCACTTTGTTGATTAACTTTTTTCTGACAGTATTGATTCCATCAAGATGAAAGTTCATTTCTCTTATTGATTCCAATTGGTTACAATTAATTTTTCTTTTTTTTTTTTGTTTAATTGAATTTATTAAATCTTATGAAATCTGTTCTTTTATTATTTAAAAAAAGAATTAATTAATTAATAATAATTATACCAAAATTTAAAAAATTTTTTTTGTTAATTTGTAGTACGTTGCTATGCCAAAAATCAAAGTTGACTAAAGTATTAACTCTTATTAATAATAATAATAGTAATAGTAATTAATTATTATTACCTAGATAGGTATAGATGAGTGAAACATAATTATCTCATTATAACTCAGTCAGTCAGTCAATCATCTAGAATGTAGGACCACACACATATACTGATTGGTCCATGTTATCCTACCTCATTAGCACAAACACGATAAACACCGGATTCATAGAAGTAGTTGTTTCAGTGGTGATAAAATATAAAACAAAGATTGAATATGAGGACATAATCTACTCCTACACCATAAAACATCGCAAGTCGGGACAGTCGGTGGTTGAGCATACGTAACACATGTCCCAGCTATCTCAACTGATGAAGCATCATTGCTTCATCAACTGATTTGTCATCCTTACCTACTATCCATTTCATAACAACTACACTACTTACTCGATGGTTGCAGGATATACGAACAATGTTTCAAAGACAACTATGATCAAATAGTGAAATATGAATGCATTCTCATCTATATTTCTTGACTGATAAATAATTTCAATATGTTATTTTCAGTTAAATTACATTAAAACAGCTTACAATGATTTAAATTCAGAAATTGTCTAGATTTTATTAGACTATACATGATTAATTGCGATTAAAAAAAACATGAACAACTACAACTGCTACTGAAATAAGAAATACTACTTATATAACTACTATTAAATATTACACTTGTAACTATGTATGTATGTGTGTGTTTGACTAATTAATGAATAAATGAGCACCTGTCATTTGTCGTTTCACATGACTGGATATTAATAATAAGAATAATAATAATAAAGATTTTTCTTTTCTTAGAAAACATGGAGTTTTAGTTTGTTTTCAATAGTGCTATGAAAGAAACTATGTCTGCATGTATAGCATGTATTCGCATACATACATACATACATGCATACATACATGCATACATACATACATGCATACATAGATACATGTGAGTATTATTGGTAATCTTGGATACTTAAAACTATATATACACACAGTAATCATCAACCATTTTTACATATTTAATCCTCATATTTGATTCGTATGATTCTATTTATGTATCCAGGGATTACATTCACAAGATAATTTATCATTAAATAAGTATGTGCTGCCAACATATAGACAAGAGAATTCATTTGTAAAATATAACACTTTGGAAAATTATAATAATAGTAATAATCATAGTAATAGTAGTCTTCATCAAAAACATCGTCATCAAACGTATCAACGAAATCAAAGACAATCATTGTTAATACAAAATTCCGATTTGAATACATCAAAATCACAAGTATTACATACTACTATTAGTACTAGTACTACTACTACTACTATCACTACTACTACTAATAATAATAATAATAATCATAATCGATTATTAACTCGATCTATTAATGATGAAATTGATCGAAATGACAAGTTAAAAGCGACGACGACGACTACTACTACTAGTACTAGTACGACTATAACTTCTTCGATTACTACAACGAATAGTTCACTTGACAATCTATCAGATTATTTAATATCATCAACTAAACAACCAACTAATCATATTACAACAAAACATATATCCAAATTAGTTCCACCTTTAATAGGACTTAATGAAATCAATGTAAATGATTCACATACTATACAACATGATATATGTATAAGTAGTAGTAATAATGATGATGATAACGATGATGATGGTGATGATGATGATGATCTAAGTAATCCATGTCATAGTCAACGTGATCAATGTATAAATAATAATGATCTATTAATTAATAATAATCATAATGGTTGTCAAGATTCTATTCAATCAACGTGTTGGTTACCAAAAGTTGCTATGAATTCAAATCGTACTAAATATGATGAAGTATTATCAACTAGTTGGAATTTATTAACAATGAAAAATTGGAAATCTGATCAAGAATTAAAACGTAAAATGGGTTTAATGAATTCTAATCATAATAAAATTGGAGGGGGGTTTTGGTTTCGTGAAAAAGCATTCAATCATCATACAAAATCATTTATTACTGGGAGACGAAGAATAGAACAACAACAACAACAACAACAATCAAAAGGGATGTCATTTAGTTCTATAGTTAATCATTGTCCATTGATTAATCAATACTTATCATCAAATAAAACGGTAAGTTTATTAGGGACTGAATTAGTTGTTGTTTTTTTAATGTTTGTATATATGTATATGTGTCCTACTGTATGGAGTGAGGACATTGAGAACTATGAATACTATCATTTACAAGATGTAAGTGTTTATTAACAGTTGTCTGCACTTAAAATACTTCGGATTCGTTGGCCAGACATGATCAGGAACAACCTAATATTGAAGAGAACAAACCAGATCCCAGCGGACAAAGAAATCAGGAAGAACAACTGGAAGTGGATATGATATACATTGAGGAAAACATCTAACTGTGTCGCAACACAAACCCCCATCACTTGGAATCCTGAAGGTCAAATGAGGAGAAGAGGAAGACTAAAGAACACATCACGTCAAGAAATGGAGATAGACATGAGAAAAATGAACAACAATTGGATGAAACTAGAAGGGAATGCTCAGGACAGATTGTGCTGCAGAATACTGGTCGGTGGCCTATGCTGCATTGGAAGCAACAGGGGTAAGTAAGTAATAAAACATAAAGTCAAAAAAGTTCATTGTTGAAGAGTGCTTTACCCAGAACAAAACAACTATCCAGTATTTTAGTTTTTTTATTGCTACGTTAAATGACATCAGTCTTTGAAGAAGATAATTTAAAAACTAAATCGATTTTCATAAAATACCATTATCATAATGAGTTTCTTCAAAGAACTATTCAATAGAATGAATATCAAAGAAGTAGAAATAAAAGTATGTTGCAGAGGATTAAACATTAAGAATTAAGCTGCAAAACACAGAATGGAAGAGTAAAATGTTTGAACTTAAGATGTAAATGATAATAACTTTTCAATATATCTAGGCAATTTCAACTGATTCTTAGCCATATCATCTAACATCTTCAACCATTTAACTCAATTCTAACTAAACAGTCTTTTTTTATTGAGATCATGAATCGACTGATGTTAGACCACCGTTGGAAACCTGGAAGCACCGGACGGCCGTTTCGTCCCAGTATGAGACTCCTCAGGAGTGCGCATACACGATCCCGCTCGCGGGATTCGAACTCAGGGCCTTCAGTTTCGCGCGCGAACGCTTAACTTACCGGCTAAGTGGTCCAGTAGGGATCGTGGATGCGCACTAGTGAGGAGTCCCATACTAGGACGAAACGGCCGTCCGGTGCTTCCAGGTTTCCAACGGTGGTCTAACATCACTCGATTCATGATCTCAATCAAAAAACTTAATAATCTCCACAACCCCAATATTGATACACAGTGTTTTCTTACCCTTGTAACTCAAACAGACAGTTAACAACTGACTTCATGTTTTGTTTTCGTCTCCTTTACCTTTCATCCGATCTAATCCTACACTAATAAATAATATACTTCGATTTAAGTAATAGTGATGCACAAGTAATTTATGTCACAACACATTTAGTTGATTGAAACTGATACTGTTGAGCTATGGATCAGAATGTTCACTCTTTAGTGAAACGATTGATTCCAGTATCAATGTAAATCATTGATTTACTTCAATTATTAAATAAATGAATCCTTTTGGTTAAATTCATATAGTACTTCTAGGCATTTTGATTTCGTAGTATTTTATAAGGGAAAAATTAATGATGTTTCATTATTTGAACATTAATAAACTCATTAAAGAATCTAAACTGTCTACTTGTCCACTTTCCCTGATTGTTAAAACTAATTGACAATTAAGAATATGTTTATCGATATAGGATTATGGAGACGGAAGACCCTCGTTTCGGATCCCGTGAGCAAGATTGTGGATGTACACTGTTAAGGAGTCCTACAATAGAATGAAGCAGCTGTTCAATTCTTCCAGGTTTTCAATGGTTGTCTAACATCAATCAGTTCATGATCTAAATCAAAAATATACCTACCTATAAGCAATGAATTATTGATTATTAATAATTTTATAGTAATGTAATGATGGTTTGACACGTTTGAATGAAATAAAAGTCTTCAAACTATCTTTTCTTATTATGTATTACTGTCTAATTAAATATACAAAAGTTAGTCTCTAAGGTGAATGATTTAATTATGCAACATTTACTATCTTTCTAGACAATGGAAAAAATATTCTTGGTACTTTTTTTTGGTGTCTATCATAAATTGGTTTAGGTAAAAATAGATGATTTAACTAGTTTCATGTTTAGTCAACTAATTGGTATTAATATATGGTGTGTGTGTGCTACTGATGTCAATAGATATAAGTAGTATGTATCCTAATGCAAAGTGTAATATCTGGTGGCCGAAGGTTAAAAGGATCAAAGAGAACAAGAACAAAAATGGTTTGTGTGGAAACGAGGGAACATTGAAGTCTGAGACAATTGATTGACATTTTACAGAATGAAGTATTAGCTGTATGATTCTCAAATTTTATTAAGATGTTCTATAATTTAGTGTTAAAATGTCTTTAGTTCTCCCCGATTGTGTTCTTGTTCAATACAAATGTACCATTATTATTTGTATCACCATTGCGTACCAAGGTTATTCCTGAAAAGAACATAAGAAGTCTTTCCCCCTCCTAGTAACTTCTGAAGATTAATAGCTAATTATACTGTGGTGAATGAGAACACCAGTGGGGATAATCAAATGTATTTGAATACAAAATTACAGAAAGTCTTAGTAAAACCTGAAAACCATACAGTAAATTCCTCATCCGCAAAATGTCAAAATTCATTGTTGTTTCGTTTCCACACCAATCACCCCCTGTTCTTGTTCTCTTTCTTTGATCTTCATAACCTTCTGTTGCCAGGCATTTCACGTTCTGTTGGTGGATACATACCACTTGTATCTGTTGGCATCAGTAGCACACACCATAATACTAATTACTAACTAAACTACAAATAGAATTTAAATACGTCTTTTTAGAATTAGAGCTGGCATAAATTCGAATACTGGAGAACTGATGTCTTTTTAGCGATTGATTTAAGCTATTTGTGGTGTTTTTTATATAGAAATGTCATTGACTTTTCAATAGTTGAATAATTGAGCACTCGAAGTAAGGGCTCTGCACCAATATCAACTGAAGTTATTCTTTGAAAAAATATTGATTAACAGTTTAGGTATCAATGTAATCTAAGAGATAGTAACTCACTGTAAACAATGGTGGACAGTGATTTAATTTCGTGGATTGGTTAAATTTGGAAATTAACACCATTGGATGTTGATCAGCTCAGTAGTCTAGAGATTAAGCATTCGCCCGCTAGACCGATAGTTCGTGAGTTCGACTCTCTCATGGAGGATAGTGGATGCACACTGCTGAGGAATCCAGTACTAGGATGAAACTGTCGTCCAGTGTTTCTAGGTTTTCCATGGTGGTCTAGCTTCGACTGACTCATGAACTCAACTATTAAGCTTATATAAAATGCACAAAAGCTCATTTCTGATAATACTACGTTCATTCACAAATGTTCCACACATAAGAAATATCAACTGTTTTTTGCATCGAATTTAGTGACATAATAGAAGGGGTCTATCTTTCAGTTCTACAAGAAGAAATTCTGTCAAAACAGAGTCCAATGGTAACTTCATATCTATAATATTCAATTGTCCACAGGATTGAACATTCATCGAGCATCTAAAAATTAACCATTTTATTTCCGATACAAAAATAAAGGTTTCTATGTTCTTCTTTATTGATTGTTACTTACTTACTTACGACTGTTACTCTCAATGGAGCATAGGCCGCCAACCAGCATTCTCTAACCCACTCTGTCCTGGGCCTTCTTTTCCAGTTCCATCCAGTTCTTGTTCATTTTTCTCATGTCTGTCTCCGTTTCTCCACGTAATGTGTTGTTTGGTCTTCCTCTCCTCCTTCGACCTTGAGGATTCCATGTGAGGGCTTGTCTTGTGACGCAGTTCGGTGCTTTCCTCAATGTGTATCCTATCCACTTCCAGTTGTTCTTCCTGATTTCTTCCTCCACTGGGATCTGATTCGTTCTCTCCTACGCTAGGTTGTTCCTAATAGTGTCCGGCCAACGGATCCGAAGTGTTTTGCGTAGACAACTGTTAATAAACACTTGTATCTTTTGGATGATGGATTTCGTAGTTTTCCAGGTTTCCGCCCCATACAGTAGAACTGTCTTCACATTTGTATTGAAAATTCTGACTTTGGTGTTGGTTGCCAATTGTTTTGAGTTCCAGATATTCTTCAGTTGTAAATATGCTGCTCTTGCTTTGCCGATGCGTGCCTTCACATCGCATCAGTTCCACCGTGTTCATCGATGATACTGCCCAAATATGTAAATGTTTTTACATCTTCCAAAGTTTCTCCGTCAATTGTGATTGAATTGTTGCATGCTGTGTTATATCGGAGAATCTTTCTTTTCCCTTTGTGTATATTGAGACCTATTGCTGCTCAGGCTGCTGCAATACTGGTCGTCTTCTCCGGCATTTGTTGTTGTGTGTGCGATAGAAGAGCCAGATCATCTGCAAAGTCTAGGTCATCCAACTGCATCCTAGATGTCCACTGTATCCCGTGCTTCCCTTCCCTTCAGATGTTGACGTCTTCATGATCTAGTCGATCACCAGGAGAAAGAGAAAGGTTGAGAGTAAGCAACCTTGCCTGACACCGGTCTTTACTAATTGTTACATAACTACTATAATACCGACCTTTCATTAAAACAGTTTGTTGTTTCTTCTTACATATTATGTAATGTACCGTATGTTTAGTCTTTCGAATAATTACTTTGATTAGTCTGATCCTTTTTCTTTTAATCACCCAACTTTATTGTATAATCACTATGACATGATTTAGTTATTACGTAATCTTGTTACCCGGTAAAATGGTAGAGCTATAATACAAAACTATTATCATTATTACTAAAAATAATGTATTTGTATTATTCCAATAAGTGGAAAATATTAAATCTTTGAATTTTCTGACGTTTCTTAACTCAATTAAAGCGACTTCTTCGGAGAAATAATTTATTTTAATAGTTAAATTCCTGAGTCAATGTGAACGAGACAATAAGATGGTGGTTGCAAGTAGTTAAGAGGACATACTTGACCCGAGTTTCGTGCTTTTTGGCATTCGTCAGCATGGTGTACCTATAATCTTGAGGGAAGTAGTGCTCCCTAACAGATTTGATCCCGTGTCACCCAGGTTCGCAATCAGAGACGTTGCCACTGAGCTATCCCGGCCGCGACCGATAGTATTTATCTGAACTAACAAGGAGTTGACACGGATGACATTGATCACGAACCAGTGATTAATTAATTGTGAAGCTAGACCATCATTAAAAACGTGAAAGTACTGAATGGTCAATTCGTTTTATTATTGGACTTCTCATGAATGTTCATTCACGATCCATCACTGAAGAGACTCAAACTCAGGACTTTTGGTCTCATAGTCGAATAAATATATTATTTTTAATAATAACAACTACTTAATACTTAATTTATTTGAAACTATAAAGTTAAACCTTACTCATGACATCTATTATCATTATTGTGTGTGTGTGTGTTTGTTTCAAGTTACACTGTCAATTCGAAACGGTACCAATGGAACAAACTGAAATTTTTAGTTTACCTGAAGCCAAATCTAAATTTTCCATTGATAATTCACTACTAAGCTCAAATCGAATTTCTTCAACACACAATACTACTACTACTAATACTACTACTACTAATACTAATAATAATAATAATAATAATAAGGTTAAAACTACCAAATCTCTAATACAATCTAATAATGATTCAATGGATAATTTCAATAAAACAATCAAATCTAAATTTAATCAATTATCCGATACAAATGATACATCATTATCATCATTATTATCTATTCAAAATACACAAAATTTTATAAAAAAATACCCAGATACTAAATTACATTTCAATGAAAAAGCCCCAGCAACAACATCAACAACAACCACAACCGTAACAACAACATCAACAACAATCAATGGATCTAATTTGATACAACAATCAAAGGATAATCTCTCTTTAAAAATCAATCATCATAATCATAATGAATATACACCCTCATCATTATCATCATCAAGACGACGTCAACATAGTCAACAATTAACACATCATGGTGATTATGATAATGGTATACAATTTAAAGATATTACAAATCGTGAATTAATTGTACATTTAAATACTACTAATCATACTACTATTAATAATACTACTAATAATAGTAATAATGAATTATGTACAGATAATGTAATAAAGAATAAATTCAAAGAAAAATCAATATTAATTGAATCACAAAAATTAAATAATCAACAACAAAATGAAATAAAACAACAAGATGATAATGGAAAAATTAATATACCAATGACACCACATAGTAAGTTAATAATATAGATTATTATCAGATGGAATTCAGTAAATGGATGTACTTGCACCTCGAAGTTGTTGTTCCATCTGGGGCTCGACTCCAGTACCGTTTACTTTAAACGACATCGTGTTATTCTCTTAGTTACTGAATATTGATAGCCATTTGCTTGTAATAATGGGGTGAAGTTTTAAATTCACTTGATATTGTTGTTTACTTGAATCTACCCTGAAATTGATCACTCTCTTATTGACATATGTACATCCTTCGCCTCGATATAGACTTAATTCACAAGTATCAGATGTAAAGATGGATAGTGATTAGCAGTGGAATCCTCAACTGGATGTACCTGCACCTCGGAATTTACGTTCCATCTTGGGCTCAAACTGACTAGCGTTCACTTCAAACACTATCGCGTTATCCACTTACATACTAAGTTTTGATAGCCAAATATTACCTATAAGAGACTGATTAATTATGGTCGTAAACATCAATGGGTAGATTCATACAAACAATATCGAGTGAAATTTCATAATTAATTCAACTAATACAAAATTCAATATAAAAACGTTTAGATCATCTAGATTTTTCCAACCAAATAAAACAAGAAAAAAAATGTTTTTTCAATATTCAATTTTATATGATGTTGTTAAACCTGCATGATGTATCCATGTGATTTCTAACAAAAAAAAAGAAGAATAAAAAACAAACCAACTAGGAATAGAATTTTTTATGTAGTTTCATGTTTAAATAGTTTAGTTTACTATTGATTGATCATTGGGTGATGATCAATGATTATGTATGTCAGTTCCTTCTTGGTACAGATCGAATCTTATCGATCAAATTGCAATGTGACTCGACATTACGTGCACTATGTTGAGATAAGATGATGGTTGGAGGAAACCCTGAAACCGAGTTTTGTGCTACTTGGCACTCGTCAGCAATGTGTACCTATAATCTTGAGGGAAGTGATACTCCCTGACGGATTCGGTCCCGTGTCACCGAGGTTCACAATCAGAGACGTTATCAGTGGGCTATCCGGGTCGCGGCTGACCTCCTGTATGACTGAAATGCATTCACACTGGATTGATCACTGAATAGTGATCATTGACATGTATGTCAGGTCTTTTAAAGTGCCCAATAAAAAAATTACAGAATCTCTTAGTAGAATCTGAGAACCATACAGTAAATACTTCATTTCCAAAATGTCAATCAATCGTCTCAGACAACAATGTTCCTTCATTTCCATGCCAATCGCTCTCTGTTCTTATTCCCTTCTCAACTTTCTCCCACTAGACATTCCACTTTAAATTGATGTTACATACTACTTATATCTGTCGACATCAGTAGCACACACTACAATGATCAATGCCATTTTTGCCCAGTTCTTTTTATGTTGTTAAAAATTCTATGAATCAAATTGTAATCTATGGCAACTTGTCAAAGTTGATGTGATGTGTTCCAGCTATCGGGGGAGTGTGGTCAATCTAGAGTGTTTAACCAAACTATCTACAATCATTTTATATCCTGATATTATATCTGTCTAGGTTTATTTTACAATAATTAATGTGTGTAACACATAAATATTAAACTGAGGGATTTGTAGAGCATGTAGAATCTTCATATTTTAAAGCACTAACTGATCTAAGCTAAACCCCTAATAAAGACCTAAATAATACTGGATGACCATGTTGTCCTAGTATGAATCCATTTATGAGTGCACATGATTGACCACGCATCCAGGCCCTGAACCCGAAACTTTCGGTCCCTTTAAAGAAATGGATGATGGTTGTGAATTCACTGAAGTTAGAAACATATCCTTCAGTTAATCGATAATAGATTTTTTACATTTTAAGATAGTGAAGAAGATTTATATCTTTGATAGTTAACTTAAATGGAGTTTTGTTTTATGAGCTGAATGGTTTCGTCATGGCACTTTTGTTGTTCTTATGAACAACAAAAGTACAAATAATCAAATCAATAAGAGATATAATCAAAGTAAAGATCAACAATAATCAATCCACATCAAGGTTGACAGTACACGTTGTGAGTTATATCTATGGAGAAAGTTTATACTGATAATCTTATTCAGGAGATCAATGAATATTCCATGACCCAACCATTCAATTCATGGGAACAAAACTCTATCTACATTTTACCCTCTTCTTCTTCTTATTATTATTATTATTCATTTTATTTAAATCCATTTCAGCTGCATTAAATATATATGGCAAGAAATTAACATCATTTGAAAAGGAGGAAATATTAAATTATAACAAAATTTGGTATCTTGGTTTATCTGCACAAAAAATCGATGCAATTCAAGGATCTCCAAGTAATCATGGTTATGATGATGAAACTGGTGGTTATTTAAAAGTATGTCATATAGTATAGAATAATTACATATTTAATAATTGTAATTGTGTAATGATCTTAACTCTAAGGGAGTATTGAAATGTAGGAAAGTGATGTAGAGAGGAGTGTTCTGGCAGGGAGGTGTTGGACTACAGCGGGTGTTGTCTACGAGAGAAGCAGTGAGATATGACACTGCTGAGCGGACATCGGATGTAGATGGACCAGGAAGTTGACGGAGCTATGTAAGTCAGCGGGCCAGAAACTCAACATGATGGCGGAAAGCGTGACACAGACTATAGAGAAGAAGGTTGCACGGTGAGCAGAACCAACGCAAGAACGACTGTTTTAAATGGAGGACGAGTATGTTATGTGCTATTGATGTCGACATATGTAATTAGTATGTACCATCGATTAAAAGCGAAATGCCTGGAGGCAGAAGGTTAAGAATATCGAAGAAAACAGAACAAGAATAGTGAATGATTGGTGTGGAGATGAATGAATAATCAAGTCTCAGACAACTGATCGACATTTTACAAATGAAGTATTTACTGTATGGTTCTTAGATTTTACTAAGATATTCTGTCATTTCGTGTTCTCATTCATTAAAGTACAACTTTAGTGAAACATTGAAGTTGGATCATGAGAATAATTTTATTCTGAAAGAGTAATCGTGATTAGTTAAATCGTTAAATTCAATTTGAATAAGTGTACAAGTATGTTGAAAAGAAAAATCCACTGTTGTGATGTGTAGTATTTAAAAACTGATAATCACTAACCGCCAGCTCACCCCCCCCCATTCAACTGATTACGTGAGTGAGAACAAAAGACTGAACGAGAAAATGCAGTTGACTACCGGATAAAATGCACATCTATTCATTCATATAAATCTACTAGTCTATCCTTTCAGGAAATTGACTCATTTTGACCTCAATATAATGCATTTGATCTTGAAATCATTTCTAATTGCTATCGATTGACGTTTTTCATTAGGCTACTTCTTATTGTCATTCCATATCATCACTAATATCAATCGTTCTCTCATTATTGTCTATTAGTTCCTATTTCAAATGATTATTTAATTCTCAGATAATTTCCATATTAAAAATCAATATTGTTCAATGAAGTAAAGTACATGATAAAATCAATATATTTGTGATTTATTGATCGAATGACTTTTGTTGATCAATTATTTAATTGATCAAATTCATTCAATTGTTAAATTTGCAGTTTGTTCATTATGTAAATAATGAATGTGGACTTGATTTCGAAACACTTTGTATTACAATCAGTATCATCAGTATAGAGTTGTGTAGATTATTATATTTTTGATTAAGATCATGAACTGATTGAAGTAAGACTACTATTAAAAACTTAGAATCACTGGACGGCCGCTTCGTCCTATTGTGGGACTCCCCAAAAGTGCATATCCACAATCTCGCTCACCGGATTCGAATCCAGGACCTTCACTCTTGCGCACGAACGCTTAACCTCTAGACTACTGACTGCGTATCCAACAGTGTTGATGTCTAACCTTAACCTCTTATTATCAATCTGTACTTTAACCTTTTGATATTATTTGCATAGCTATAACTTTTTATTCAAGATAAAATGAAGGGATCTAATATGATCAGATCAATTAAATAGTCAATACATTACCAACATTCAACAAAAATACATTATTAGGTTGAATCAGAGAGGACTTTAGCTCATAAGAAATTAGTTTATATCACGATCTGATCTTATCTAGACAATCACTGAAAATCAGGAAGCATTACTTACTTACTTACTTACTTACGCCTTTCACTCCTCGTGAAGGAGCATAGGCCGCCCACCTGCACTCTCCATCTGTCCTTTTATAGGAAGCGTTGAACAGCTGATTTGTTTTAGTTTCGGACTTTACAAACCACTTGTATAGTAATAAGAATCATATGCTCTGAAATGACCAATTTTCAGAGCTAATTCCCTGAGTTGTGCATAGTATTCATGACAAGTGGAGTTCAATCACATTTGGCGTGAGATAGATGCTCATCTGGAACTGATGGAAGTTATACACGTACACCAATGAACTACAGCCCAGTTATCCAGGGCTTAAATGTTTGAGCATAAGACCAAAAACGGACTATCGTAGAATAGTCAATCCACATTGATAAGTAGTCCCATACTAGAATGAAGTATCTGTCAGGCATGTCCTGTTTTTGTAAGCGCCGACAATTTCCGAAAAACTCTAGATGTACAGTCTCACTATATCTGTTCAAATTAATAAAAAAAATGAATGAGACTATAATTTATAGACGAACCAATCAGATTTAGGATGCAAAGTCTTGGATTTTAGCGCGAAATTCATTCCTCCATATGTCTAGATAGAATTTTCGCAGTATAAAGCTGATATGCATCCGTAATGACAAACCTTACTCTAATTCTTGACCCTAACTTTTAATCCTACATCCCGATTCTGATTTCTCACATAATTTCTAACCTTCTTTAGATCCTAGTACTTAAGGTAAGCTTTCTCAAGATCACTTTAGCACCGCTCAATGGTTATCCATACATTATGGTCTCACTAAGAACTATATTAAGATCGTGCTTTTGTTTATGAAGATCAGAATATCGTCAAATCGCCGTCTGGACGTGAGATCCATTTTGATTTAAAATTTTGAACTTTCAGGGCATATATACTACTAAGAAATATATAGTAGTTCCCAATAGTTTACTTGTGTGATTTGAGTGATACTGGAGTAAAAAACAATAATGAAATGATCGAAGACACTAAACATGTTTTCCGGTTTCGGTTAGGATCCACTTTGTACAGGTTGCATCTTATTTTTACCCATGGTTCTTCCTTCATACGTAGGAAGATGATTTAATTAAAGCATTGCTGATCATAAACTGATAACAGTTAAAACATCGTTGATGACCCATAAATTCACTTATGAAATGTAGCAATACTCATCTTATTATTCTATACCGAAACTTATCCTATTTTTATAATGACAAGGTCAGCTGATGTAAACATTAATGAACAATAGATCGGTTTCTGTGTGATTTTCAAGCATTTGGAATTCTAGGGATTCTGTTTGTCTATTGTATCAACGACCCTCTATGTGAAGACAGAATCAGATTATATCGGATACCCGATTCACAACCATAATGATGAATCAGAGTAACGCTAGACAATACTTCATTAAACACAATTACAAGTAGTCATTCTCAATGAGGCCAGAGTAGAAATCAATATGAAGAAAAGTAATCACATATTTAAAGGTCATTAAGTTAAGTGCTTGTTTTTCCGCAGTAAGTGACTATGCACATCTACTTTCACTACCAACTATACCTTGGATGATATTCAGGCTGCAACGTTTTTGAGAAATTGTAAAATTGTCATATTGACTACTTTTATATCTGAGTGATTTGATTGATATCACCTGGTAAGTTTTCGAATCAGTATTGTGGTAATAGTTTTTCCAACCGTATCCATTAATGTTTCTTCAGCCTATTTCTTCAAGCCTTGAACAATGATGGATTTTGAATTATATGATTTACCCTGGACTAATGTAAGCTTCACTCCTATTGATCCGCGGATATGCATACCTTTCATTCCAATCTTTGAAGAGACAGCAACTAGGCTTCTATATTATATTTCAAACAAATAGGCCAAATGTTTTCAGATCAGCATTATAAATAGACTTGTGAGGGTAACCTGACAGTTCGATGGGAAAATTACCATGCACAGTAGAATAGAGTTTCAGGCTATCAACCTTAAATTGCTTAACATACATTATTCAGAGAAGAACTAAGTATAAAATCAGTTTGAAATTATTGTCAGTTGAGTGATAGTAACCCTAGAAAAGTTACTGGCGAAGTAGGTAAGTGTTATGAATTTTCTAGTTTACAACACTGAAAGTTATTTAATGTCAGGAAATATGGGACAGGTGTTTCGTCCTACTATGGAACTCCTTATCAAAGTACATACACACAAACCTACGAAGCGTTGACTTAAGAACATCTAAAACTCAACTATTGTTGCTACCTTGACGTGGTGGTCGAGCTTGCCTATAGTGATGAACCAATCGAGCTATAATGGCTGAAACAATCCTTCCTCAAGGTCTTTCCATGCCAGACAGGTCGGTTGAAGAACTGTAAGACTAAAAGCAGCGAAGTCATACTGCTGACTGTACAGAGGTGTAACGGCAGTAGGATGTTTCCTTCAGACAACCGGTATAACAGCGATGCTGCCTTCCCCCAAGGAAGGATGGGGTTAGAAAAGGTCAACCTTAAAAAAACAGACTTCAACATATCCGACGGATATCCGTCTACGGCGGTAAGGTCTCAAAAAATACATAGCTAAACTGAAAATTACTCACAAAATGGTCGTGTGTGACCGACCTTAAGCAGTTGTCCCTTGGGCACTGAGGTCACGCTCTCAGGTCACCAAGACCAGATCTAACCCAATTTTCTCTTTCAGGTACCTCCAGAAGAATCTTTCCACGGTGTAGGCAACCGAGAAGTGATAAATGCCCTCATACTTTTAACAGCACTCAAGATCATTGAAAGCTTAAGCTTTAGACTACTAAATCTATATCTAATGCTTTAAGTTTTCTGATCAATAGTCTCATATCTTATATGATTCTATCCCATTGTAATATATATATATTTCTCTTTTAGATAACCCATGATCATATCGCTTATAGATTTCAAACATTGGAAACTTTAGGTAAAGGTTCATTTGGTCGAGTGATACGAGCTATTGATCATAAATCAGGATTTCCAGTTGCAATAAAAATTATTAGAAATAAAAAACGGTAAGATATTTAGTATGAAAACATAATAATCTATCCATCTTGAAAGAATCTTATGTGATACAGATACAAGGGAATGTCCAATTTACTTGCTTACGTAAAGATAAATGGATAGGTCAATTGTTAGGGCCATAGTCACAACGTATTTGTTAGCACCTACCAGCATGGTTTTACATAGATCAATTATATAATCAACTCTTCAACATGTAATAGACACAGAACATTCAACGTACATCTTATCCTTTGATGTGATTTACAGAATGCAGTCAACTATACTGTAGATGACTAACGTAGATCATCTATGTCGAATGATTGGAAGCCTACTAGAGTTAGACGAGAATGGTATGACCAAAAGTTAACTTTAAAGTCATATCTCGTGATCAGCACCTAACTTGGACTACCTCTTCGTCGTATTAAGTTACGATAACTGATTTGAAAACTATATAACACGAAAGACGTTTTACAGAAAAATATTAATAAGAATGAGAACAGAGAAGATTTTGAAACCATCACCGCACGGGCCAATCTTTGGCATACCATTAGCTGATACACGTTGGTTGTCTTTGACCTTGACACAGATCGATGGTCTGTTCAATATTCAGTGACCCAGATGCCGGATTATTTGACTAGGGCTCAGTGACATTTCATTGACCCTTCAATACTAACCTATTTTACATCTAATAAGCGTTGGTTAACTGTCATTTCACTCTTGAGTTGTGTATATAAAACAATTTGTTAGATTCCTCTCTCTTTTCTGTTGTGTACTCCTACATTTGTAAATGAGGATTGTGATTTACAGAAGAGTTTGTGTTATCTGTTTTTCATTGTTTAATACGTGTGGGATATCAAACATTTTCCAACAGTTCTATGTTTATTTAGTTGGTATATGCAGAATGTAACAGCATAATTTTCATAGGAGATTTCATTTTATTCCAGGACTTTCTATGGATTTGTGTCTTTTATTCGGTGTATTGAGATTGATTTCGTTGATCGTTGATGGTAGACGGATCTGTGGGAACCTGAAAGTGTTTTGGAATTAAAATTTCAAGCAAAAATCACACCCCAACAAATAGGAATCATCCATTAAATGATCGTAAAAACATTCGATAATACTACCATACTGCAGACTTATTGAAGATTGTAAGACGGATGGATAAATTCACACTGTCATTTGTTTGTTGTCACACTTCATGCTTCCACTTAGATTTCTTGACAACTACTACTATTCACATAACTCTGTCACTGCAACAACAACAACAATACTCACAGTTACACCTTTCCCTTCTCGTACTTCTTTAATGTCTTACCTTAACAACTCTATTTATCATTATAACGTTATGGAGACTGTTAAATATTATCGAAATCATTAACCGATCAAAATCTAGATGTTAAGCATTCGCATGTGTGACCGAAGAACATTGGTTCAACTGCTGATTGTGGATTGTGGATGCGTACTACTAAGCGATTCCATGCAAGGGTGAAATAGATGTCCAATACTTCTATGCTTTTCCTTTCAATGATTATCTTACTTAAATCGGTTAGTCATTCCAATGAATTTTATTGATCTACACAACTCCATACCATTAGATTGTAATTGTTTTATTAATGTCATTGGAGGTTAATGTAAAGTTTTAAATGCAAAGCTCTGTTTCTCTCTTCAAGTTCATAAATGTCTAGGATTCAGTCCTCTATATGGTCGAGAATGCACGCTTTTGAATAGTTTCCTACAATGAAAAAACTAACTGTTCAATGCTTCCTAGCTTTCAATTATTATTGGTTCATAAACTTATAGAAACTTCTTCGACACTATTGTTTACCTGAGAAGATCGTCAAAATCATACGGAAATCATACGACTACTGTGCAAAGTGGTACAGCTGACTTCTCACAGATGCATTTCAAATGAGGACCGGAGTTGGACAAGGTTACTTGCACGCTCTCTTCCTCTTTCTTCTGGTGGTTGATTAGATTATGAGGACCTCGACGTTAGAAGGAAAGCACGGAATACAACGGACAGCTCAAAATCAATTAGAAGATTTGGACTTCACAGATGACCTGGACCTTCTATCTCATACACATGAAGAATTGAAGATGAAGACAACTAGTGTAGCAGCAATTTCTTCATCATAGGCCTCCACATACACAAATGAAAAAGCATCATCGGTGAACAAGGATGATCCGATACAGACATAAAGGTAAGGATTGGTTAAGCAAAGACAACATTCCTGCAGTTGAAGAATATATGTAACTCAAAACAACTGCCTGTCAACCAATATCAAAGTAACAATGTTCAATATGAACGTCAAGACAGTTTTACTTGGAGAACCACCAGAACCATCATCAACAAAGTACAAGTATTTCTAAACAATTGTCTACGTGAGATACTGAATGTTCGTCGGCCAGATACCATTTACAACAGTCTACTGTGGGAGAGAACAAACGAACTTCTAGCTAAAGAGAAAATTAAAAAAGACGTAGGATTTGGATAGAACATATATTACGGAAATCATCAAACTACATCTCGATGAAAGTGGCAACTTGTAATCCTGAATAGAAACAGAAAAGACGAAGACCAAAGAACAAACTGAGTTGAGAATTGGAAGTAGACATGATAAAAATGAATAACAACTGGAAAGAACTCGAAATGATTTCTGGAAAGTGCTCATGTTGGGCCTATCCTCCTCCACGAGGAGTCACAGGCGTAAGTAAATAAGTAAGTGGGTAAGTAATGATATAAACTATGCAATTCAACACTTATCTCAAATCCATTCATTACTACTAATATATTCTATCTGATGTTTTGTTTTATTCATTATTTAGATTTCATCAGCAAGCTCAAGTGGAAGTAGCCATTTTAGAGAATTTAAAAAAAGCTGATCATAAAAACATTCATAATATTATACATATTAGAGATCATTTTACATTTCGAAATCATTTGTGCATTGTTTTTGACTTATTAGGGTAAGTTAATTGTCACCTTGTTTAATAACACGTTTCTTCATGTGTGTGTGTGTGTGTGGGAGAGAGAGAGAGAGAGAAAGAGTTTACTAAACCTACAAATTGATTCTTTCTATCAGATAGTTTTGTTGTAAATGATAAGAAGATTCTGAGTTATTAAAGTTCTAGTGAGAAGCTGTAACCAGTGTTTAACTAAGTCTATTGTGAGATAGTAACTCATCGAAGACAATGATGGACGATGGCGTAATTTCGTGGATTGATTGAAGCTAGACATTAACACCGTTTGTATCCGACTCAGTAGTCTAGAGTTCAGGCGTTCGCACACGAGATCGGATGTTTTGGTTTGGAGTCTTGCGTGTGAAATCGTGGATGCACACTACTGAGAAGTCCCATACTAGGACGAAATGACCATCCAGGGATTCCAGGTTTCCCATAGTGGTCTAGCTTTAATTGACTCATAAATTCAACTATTAAAGTACTTAAATCTCCACAATACCCCGTTCTGATACTAGAGTATGTTTGTAGTTTAGAATGAAGATTTTAAGAGTGCTTTATTCTTTCAACAGGATTGTTTGGTTGCGAATCTTAAACTGTTCCTGTAGATAACATCATCAGTATACACTTCTATAAGAATTGAGTAATTAGAATTTTTCCATAATTGACTGATTGTTTGTATTCTGTCAACCATAAGTGTGTATAGCCATTCTGCACGAGTTTGTTTCGATTATTTTTGCCTCTAACCTGATCCGTGATCTTGAAGCTTATTTTATCTTTTTCCTTATTGGTTGATAGATCAGATCAATTTCAATATATCGATTGATTGCTGGATTACCAGAGTCTTACGCTTCAAAGAATCTTTTATGTTTGCGTTATCATCAAATAAGAAATAAAACAGTCTAATTGGCTTAATGGTTTAGATAGTGTATATACATATATCGATGTTGATATTCATAGTAGGACTCAGGTTCAGTATCTTTCATTTCAAACATTTAACACTGTGTTTATTAATTTACTGATTCTATAAAGTCACTAACTTGTTCAACACATGGTGTTTAAGTCGTTATTTGCAATTGTTTGAGTTATCTCATTGTTGATAATCAAGATTGAGTTTTTGCTCTCCACTACCGGTAGGGATTTTCCTCGATATATTCTTAGATAGTAACAGCGGGATAATAGAAACATGCAATTGGCGAAGAAATATTCTCATACACATACTCCACAAAAGTCACTTGGTTTGTATGTGGACTGTGATACTGTCCGGGTGCCTAGACCAAAGCAGGTGATTTTCTTAAGAATCCACACCCGATGCCTTCAACCTAAAGGTCTGATACATAAAGTAGATGGGCGACGTGAGGAGATGTAGTCGTATGGTAGTCAGTGACCAACGACTGGTTCATACACCATTCATTCTCTCTGGATTGTGGTAGCCCATCATTGGTTTGGAATCAGAGTTATGAAATCATGCTAGATGGATCCACCTCACCCACTAATACAGTTCAAGCTCCGGACATTCGTTTTTCACTCTCTTAATCTCGTAGAGAACACACCATTCTCGAGAAGATAGTCAGTCGGACTTCCCTGACAGTGGCTGTATACGCGTGAACATTTGAGAGCATGTCTAGAGGGAAAGCTGACTCTCCCCACCTTCCGTTATATCAGGGTATTTGGGGGCATAACATAACGATAAATTTTTAATTGAATAACTCATAACCTTTATCATAATTCATTCATATTATCATACATATTATTTATCTTTTACAAATCTATCCAGTTCAAATTTATATGATCTTTTAAGAAAAAACGATTTTCGTGGTTTTACAATACATTCATTGAAGAAAATAACAATTAAATTACTCAATTGTTTGTGTTTATTAAGAAAACAAGGTATTATACATTGTGATTTGAAACCAGTAAGTAAATATTGTTACAAGTGTTATTATTTATAACTTCAATATTTATATTGTAATAGTTGAATTCATGAGTTAATTGAATCTAGACTACCATAGAAAACCTGGAAGAAATGGACGGCCATTTCATCCTATTATTGGATTCCTCAGTGACAGTATGCTTCCACGACCCTGCCACGAGGGATTCGAACCTATGATATTACAGTCCTTGTAACCTTATAGACAAATAAATTACTTAAAACGTTTTATACTACTGAAAACTTAAAAAGTACCTCAACGTGTTTAGCGAAAATATTTCTCTTAGAATTCCTTGGAAAATAGTAATAATCAATGTTAATTTGTTCATTTTATCAGAAGTATGTGTTAAAATATATAAGGGGAACTTCACAGGTTGATGTAAACCCCTATCTTTAGCCAGTTACTTGATTATGGTGCGTTTAAATTTAAGATTTACATATTACCAATTTCTTGAAAGTATAAAAACAGTAGACTTTAATCGATAATGTATGGAAACATATTGTATGACTAAATTTATCAACTTATTGGTAATATGGAAGAATTCCGTCGAATTTCTTCTGTTTAACTACGGAATATTTCTAGATTTTTCACCAGTAAATTATTTCATTTAATTGAGCTTAGATGTTTATTGTCATTCATAAAATCATTTCTTCTGTCAGAAATGTCATATGTCTCAGGTATCCGTTGAGATACATTTGAAACAGGAAACCTTGACGAGAGGTGTTTAGTTATGTTGGGTTGGAAAACATTCACCTATGAATGTCTACAAAATATGGTTACTCAATATTGTTTAGTGATTAAAGCTAGATATGTAACCGCATTGGATACCATCACAATGATCTGAAGACCAAACACTCTGAAAGAAACCTGAATGTCATTAATTCGATTCCCAGTAACCTTATGAATGCTCACTACTCAATGGTGTCACAGTAAGACGAAACAAATACAAACTGCTTCTTGTTTTTCTCCCAATTTTTATTCATCTAAAGTCATTTCAGATTAAAAATTATGAAACTTAACAGTCATCAAAAACATCTTGTACCAGACCTGTAGTAACTGTTATTATGCTTAAGCCCATATACCTTATTCTAGCTTTCGAACAGGCCAATTTATTCCTTCTACTTGAGTTACAATTTGACCTTGTTGACTATTCGCTTATCAATCTTGACTGTTTTTGTATGACCGCGTTGGTGTGTGTATGTACATTTCTTATCCCATTACTCATCACATGTCTGTAACTTATTTTTATGTGAATATAAATACTGATTATTGCTTGGTTAAATCTCCACTGCGCATCGTTTCCCTCTTCTCTGTTCTATTCACTTTATATACAAGATATATGTATTCAATAGTCCATTCTCGTTATTTGACTTATTTAATTCCGTTATTGACTAACGCGATCTATTAAGTCGATGATTATATACGAGGATAGGCGACATATATATTTCGACAACGATCATTCATGCTATCTACTTGGAGTCATATCCACGAGCCACTGAAGTGGAGAGCCTGTCAACAAACATCGTCTGATTTAAATGACAACAAATAAAAGACTCCACAGACCCTATGTAAAAATTGCGTATAAAAATAAACTGGCTTACATACAATACCGATGTTTGTGAGATATCGTATTATTGACATGTTTATATATAAATCTTTCAAACATTTGGATAAAACATCATACCATAGAATATTCATTTCGTGAGAACTATTCCTTTACTTCATTAGTCACAATATAAGATATCACATCAAAGGTATAGATAGCAAAGTAGGACTTGATAGTTTCCAATAAATTGACCAGCCACTTCTCCAGATTAGTGACTTACATGAAATCACAAAATATCAGAAATATAATTTTTTTTCTACTCATTAGGATTAATGTAATGGAAAGGATGATAATGATTGATTGTTCGCTTTGTCAAACTGTTAAGATAGTCTAACAGGTACTAGATGAGTTCTATATTCTCTTACCCTTATGATTACTATGATTGTTGACGGATTGTTGTCGGGGTATTTTTTAGTGTGGAAATATATTTACGTTCTAGTCAAGCGAATCATGTGTTCTTGAATTGGGTTGTATTGAAGTCCTGTAGCATATAGACATTAGTATGCTAAGCAGTCCCATATTAGAATGAGATGAAACTACCATTCAGTGATTCCGGGTTTCCCATGGTGATCTAGATTTAATTGACTCATAAACTCAACTGTTAAATTACAACAATCTCCACTAAAACTCCTGTTTCTGGCCATAATCTGTAATTCTTTAATGCATAAATAAGCAGTTTAGTCTTATTTAAGTATCTCAATAACTATGTGTATACATCCACCTGGTTCGAGTCCTGGAGTGAACATCAACACTGAGATGCAGGTATATCCAAATAACAAGTCCTAAATAGCATGAAACGTGAGTACGGGATCCCACTATTAACCACCATTCATCTTTGCTTATACAGTGTGTATATACAATTAATGGCTACGCATTTATTGATTACAAGGCTTAGTTCTGATGAATATAAATTCAATCATAGTTGAGCATATACGAATTTGAGTTAAAACTAATTCTATTCACAGAGTAATACCGGGTATGACTTCTGCACTCGAACACTAGAACCCTCTCAAGTTGCAAGTGAGAAGGCAGAAGAAGACTGGAGAGTGTGTTTGTTGGGCAAGAACCGAAATATACAGAATATCATGGGTATTTAAAGATATTAGCATTTGTTCTATCAACATTATAATTCAACCAATTCGTGAAGCTTTCATTTTTCTTCTGAACGACATCATCAACACAAACGTCAAGTAAATGTGAAGTTTATACTGATGATATTGTTCAGGAGAATAATGAAAGCTACATGACTAAATCATCCAGTTCAGAGAATAAAATTGCATAGCTTCATTACGTTCTGATTGGATAAAACTCTTCGGCTTTTCTAGAATCTTTGGAGGACTCTGTCGTACTTCTTGAAAACTGTCCTAACAATTTTATTTTACATTTTAAAAAAAAACTTAATTTGATCATTTAAGAATTTTGTTTAATCATCAATTATTTTCGTGGATTGGTTGAGGTTAGACATTAACACCGTTGGATGCCTGCTCAGTGGTCGAGTAGGTTAAGCGTTCGCACGCGAGACTGAAGGCCCTGGGTTCGGATCTCGCGAGCGGGATCGTAGATGCACACTGACACTGAGGAGTCCCACAATAGGACGAAACGGCCGTTTAGTGCTTCCAGGTTTTCAATGGTGGTCTAACATCAGTCAGTTCATGATCTCAATCAAAATTACTTTCTATTTATTGATTATTTTAGGAAAATATTCTTATTGGTTTAAATAATCCATCAGAATTAAAAGTTATTGATTTTGGTTCAAGTTGTTTTGTTCATCAAAAAAGTAAGTTAAACAAAAATTTATTCTGTCATAATTATTGATTAATAGTTGCTATGGCCCTTTGGTTATTGTAAAAAATATGAAATAATTTAGCTTATTCTAATAAGGATATAGCGTTCTTTTGATCAGCAGTAGGTTTCAATATACACAAAGGGAAAAGTAAGATTCTCTGATACAACACAGCATGCAACAATTCAATCGCAAATAACGGGAAGATTTGGAAGATGTACAAACCTTTACATATTTGGGCAGCATCAATTATGAACACAGTGGATCTGATGCAGATGTGAAGGCACGGATCGACAAAAGAAGAGAAGCGTATTTATAACTGAAGAACGTCTGCAACTCAAAACAATTGGCAACCAACAGCGATGTCAGAACTTTCAATACAAATGTAAACACAGTTCTATTGTATGGGATGGAAACTTGGAGAACTAAGAAAGCCATCGTCCAGAAGATACAAACGTTTATTAACATTTGTCTACATAAAATACTTCGGATCTCTTGACCAAACATTATCAGGAACAACCTACTGTGGAAGACAACAAACCAGATTCCAGTGAAGGAATAAATCAAGAAATCAAGAGAGGAAAACCAAAGAACACATTTATCCTGATGATAACATAATAAGTGATAGCCAGTTAGATGTTAGCAATTCAGGAATCGACATGTGTATACTTTTTGATGCATATTTCCAACAACTACGATGTCATTGATTAGGCTCTTTTGGAACTTGTACAGTGAATGATCGTAACCTTTCCTATATGTGATTAATAAACATAATGATGTATTCAAATAAACTTATTGAAATATGTTGATATCAGGATCACATAGTCCAGATATTCAAACAAACAGGTCGTTCATAAATTATAGTTTCATCAAAATATACTTGAAAATGACTTCATATATTCGAGTCATTGTTATATGAAATTGTCAATTATTCCTCATTCATGTCATCATATTGATATGTTCAGTTTATGTTGCAGTATTGTTCTCTGAACTGGATGGTTTGATTATGAAGATTTCATCGTTCTTCTAAACGACATCATCAGCATAAATTTCAAGTAGAATTGAAGTGTTCAAATTTCTTCACACATGTACTTCACAGCTTGACCTGTACAGCTCGATATTGATTGTTGGTTGTTGAAAGCTCCACGATCAAACCATCTAACTCAGAGAACAAAACTTCATCAAAATCATTCACCCAAGCTACAAATCTTCTCTATGATTAGTTTTTGTTGGATCTTTATCATTTTTTTTTTTAAAATTTTATATTTAACATTTTAGCCTATACGTATATTCAATCACGTTTTTATAGAGCACCAGAAATTATATTAGGTATATCTTATGGTCCACCAATTGATATGTGGAGTTTAGGTTGTATTCTACCTGAATTATATACAGGTAAGATTAAAACTTATGTATATATGATTGAATCAATTGTGTTTTCTTTTATCATCTAAAAATAATACATCAAATGGAATATTAACCTCCTTAGATTCATCCTATTCAATAAAGATCTTCTATGTATGAATCTTGGATTGATCACTGGGTAGTGATCCATGTCATGTGTCCCAGGTCTTTTTTAATGCAAATGAAATACTATTGACCAAGTTGTTGGATGACACGGGATCAAATCCATATGGAAGTACCAATTGCCTGAAGTCCTGACAAGTGCGAAATAGCATTAAACCCGGACTCAGGGTTTCCTGTTAACTACCTTCAATCACCATCTTATTCACAAGTAACTTTACTATGAAAGTTAGATTATGTAGAAGGTGATGAGAATGATATGGCTTAGAATTGATTCATAGTGATGCAGATACATTTAATGGTTGATTTCCTTAGATTATAAGTTATGAAATAATCTAATATTCTTTTATTTCATGAATCCGTTGATTTTTTTTTTCTCGACTCATATTGTCTGTGCCTAATCTTTTGTAATACCAATGATACTGCAGTGTGTGCTACTTATATCGCCATAAGTAGTATATAACTCTAATCAGGAATAGAATGTCTGACATCGGAAGATCAAGAAGATTAAAGAAGAAAGAATGAGAACAATGAAGTCTGAGACAATTGACGAACATCTTGCAAATGAAGTATTTACTGTATGATTCACAGATTATACTAAGAGATTCTGCAATGTTTTGTTCAAATGCATTCGATTATCCCCAATTGTGTTCTCGTCCACTGCAACCATAATACTATGTATAATACTAAAACATCCAGCTGAATCGGAATGATATGGGTAGTTTATTCGATGTATATATATGACAGATCCCAAGTTGTTTATGTTTAACTAACTGAACAAGAATATTCTAAGATCTAGAGTTATCAACTTTTGAAGAAGGATAATTGAAATAATAACAAATTCAGCAAGACTATAATTTATGAACAAACCAATCCGGTATAAGATCATAGGTCTCGGATTGTGACGTGAAATTCACTCATCCAATTGGATAAACAGAGTTTTAACATTTTAGCTGATGTCAGTTGATGATGAAAACTCCTTAAATCTAATTCTTCACACAGATTTATAACCTTCATTTGGTCCCGGTTTCTAGGTGAACATTCTTAAGGTGTCAAGTCAGCTAGACTGGTAGCCACATTGCAACATGATCGATAGCATTCGATGTGCACTAATAATAAGGACTAGACACGCATGACATTAGTCACCCAGTGATCAATCAATTGTGATTCTTAAGGTCCGTCTAGCGTCGCTCAAAGATCGTCCATAAATTATAGTCTCAACCCAATTTCTATAAATATCTAGTTAAGATGACAAAAGTCAATTTATCTTGGAAGTTTCGATAGAATACATGATTGTTTAAAATTAGTTTTAGCATTATCACTGGACTTTCAGCCAAAGAGCTAAGATAAAAATTCATGTTTAGTATGAGAATATATAAGTGTGTACTTATATGAGATAGATGTAATGGCTAGAATAGTTGTTCAATGCATGGTGTCCACTTACTTTCCTTTTTAAACATATTGAACAGTGCTAACAGCTGACTGGTTTCAAACTCAAATGAAACAACTATTCATTGATTTATCCCACCCACTAACAAACACTGATCGGTTAAACCCATAATCTTACTTACTTACCTACTCCTTGGAGGAGGAGGCCGTTTCACAGCACTCTCCAAAACCCATAAATCGATGAATATAATTGATGTTTATTCGATAAACACAGTCCACGACTAAGGAAATAACCTTCATTTATTAAATTGTTTATGTTACAGTATAATAGTCTAGGTTCTGAATATTCTATTCCATTCTAATAAATCCCAACTAAAGAGTTGTCATTCCGTCAATTCATATGGAATAAAACACTAATCAAAGTAATACCCTTACTATACTACCAAGAAATGCAGATCTTTTGATGATCATGATATCTTTTCAACTCATGAGCTGGTATTTAGTGTAGTGAACGAGAACACACGTGAAGATAATCGAATATATTTGAACACAATATTACAGAACAGCTTAAGAAAATTTGAGAACCATACAGTAAAAAACGAATACTTCATTTGCAAAATGTAAATCAATCATCTCCGACTTGATTGTTCCTCCATTTCTACACCAATCATTCCTTGTTCTTCTTCTCGTTTCTTTGATCTTCTTCACCTTCTGCCTCTAGGCATTTCACATTCAATTGATGATACATACTACTTATATATATATATATCAATATCAGTAGCACAGTTATTTAGTGTTATTTAACTCATTTTCAATATTGTTTAACTCCATCAAATATGGCTTCTGATTAGAACACTGGGATATCTATACTGAAATAGATCAACACAAGTATCATTAAAAGCAACTAATCTTTTCAATTTCCTTATTTACAAAATCTAATTCTCATATTTTATTGTAATGAACGCTTCACCAGAAGGTTTAAATATTTCTGCTCAACAGATATTGTCAGCTTCTTCAGGGGAGATAATAATAATCCATATTCTTTGTAATTTACTGACAAACTCAATGGTTGAAGTAAAACCATTCTAATGAAGTTGAATGATTCTAGTTTTAACCTTGATGTTGAACAATTAGATACTTTCAAAGTTGAATTCACGAGTCAATATAAGCTAAACTACCATTGAAAACTTGGAAACGGTGGACAACCCGTTTCATCTTAGTATGGGACTCTCCAGTAGTACACATCTATGATCACGCATGCACGACTCGAAACCAGGACCTTCAGTCTCGCTTGTGAACGCTTAACCTCTAGACTATTGGGCAGGTGTCCAACAATGATAATGTCTAACGTAATTTTGAAACACTAGGATGTTGACTTTATTATCCTAACACTATTAACCTGACACTCCTTACCTTGATACTCATAAACCTTGAACAATATATATGGGGTTATGAAGGGAAAACTCATTTGAATTGTAGCAAAGAAGGAAAACAACATGCTAAAGTTAGTTTTCTCTTACCAACTATACTTCAATCCAAATTATTATTTATTATTTGAACAAATAAATATTGGTAAAAAGGGGTACAGAATGCATATGCGCCACACAAGTCACTTGGCTTGCGTGTGGGTCATGATACTGCCCGATTGCCCACACTAGAGAAAGTGGTTTTCTTAGCACGTGACAACCCGAGCCTTCAACCTGAAGGTCTGATACACAAAGCAGTGGAGCAATGTCAGAAGATGCAGTCCCATGGTAGCCGGTGACAAACAATTGGTTCATACACCATTCGTTCCCTTAGGATCCTGGAGCCCATGTACACCATCAGTTTGAAATCATGGTTTTCCAACTCCTCTAGATGGATCCTCTATATCACTTCCGACATGCCTGAAAACCGGCCACGACATAAAATAAAAACTTTTGGATCATCGTGAAACGAGTAACTCGTTAGATGAGACATTTGTTCAGTGATCCCTGACTGTCAAGCGTACTGCAACTGTAATGAATCTGTGACGAATACAACCTACAAACAAAGACCAATAACCCCAAATCCCTTCCAAACAAATAATCTATTGATATCAAATTTGTTCGTAACAATTTCATTACTAAATTTATAGCTGGTATTACTGCTATTATTATTCACCCGTCCTACCATCCATTTATAATCAGGTCGTCCATTATTTCCTGGAGAAAATGAAAATGAACAATTAGCTTGTATTATGGAAGTGCTTGGTTTACCATCTGAATTACAACTTGAAAAAGCTAGTAGACGTAGAGTATTTTTCGGTAAGACAATTTAATTAATTTTTCAATGTGTGTAGTTGTGTTTTCGTCTTTAACTCTTCTTTCAGTTATACACATAGGTACTTCGTCAATATCATCGGAAATCGGTTCACAATTGATATTTATTAAACAACTGGCAATCGGTTAAGTGGTCTAAAAGTTAAGCGTTTGCAAGCGAGACCAAAGGCCCTGGGTTGGAATCCTGTGATTATCCCGGGATCATGGATACGCATTGCTGGGGAGTATCATAATAGGACGAAACGGTCATTCAGTGCATCTAGGTCTTCAATGGTGGTCTAAAACCAATTGGTTCATGATCTCAATCAAAAACATAATAATCTCCACTGTCCCATACTGATATTTTCTTTATTTCGGAAATCATGGAAAACTTTGATAATGTAATAATAACTATATTACTTAAAGTACATATATCCTAAACTGATATACTCTATGGTTTACATAATTTAACTGTGGTGGTGGAGAAGATTTGTACCTCAAGTGTATGATTTTGATGGAATTTTGTTCTCTGAGCTGGATGATTTGGTTGTGGAAGCTTTATCATTATTCTACCTGACGTTTATGCTGATGATGTCGTTCAGAACAATTGTGAAAGCTCCACGACCAAATTATCCAGTTCAGAAAACAAACCTTCATCAACCTACATCACAGAAGATTTTTTGATGGTGTTACACAGTATGACTCATTAAAATTGAGAGTAAAGATATAAAGCTAAATCGTGAAGATACATTCAAGCTAAAGATTGTGTTAAGTCATGAACATATATCAAATCAAATCCAACGTTCCCTTATTGCTCTAACATCCAATAACCTAAATTAGCAAATTCAATACCTAAAACTCAAACTGGTTTGAAGTCAATGATATGCATATTGTTGATTAGTCCGCTCCCAAATGCCCTGCCTGGTACGACCGAGAGTGAACAGAGTCAGATCTTCCTCTTCAAATGCTCTAAAGTGGCCACGTGCATACAACCACTGACAAGGAAGTCCTACTCACTGCCTTCTCATGGAATTACTAATGTTTACGAAATTTAGAGGACAAAAAACAAATGTCTGGCGCTTTAATTAGGTTGGTAGATATGTAGGATCCATTTAGGATAGTTGAAAAACTTTGATTCCAATCCAATAGTGCACATGGACTCTAGTATACTAAAGGACCAAATGGAGTATGAACTAATCGTTGGTCACCGGCTACCATGAGACTGCATCTCCTGTTTTTGCTCCACTTTCGTATGAATTAGACTTTTAGGTTAAAGGCTTCCGGTATGGTCCCCTAAGAAAACCACCTGCTTCGATTTTGACATCCAAACAGTATCTCAGCCCTCACACAAGTTAGTTGACGAAAAGTGGCGTATATCTATTTGATGCCTCTATGTACTAATGTTTATGTATGATAATGTCATCGAAACCTCTTAAAGATCATCATTCAATCACAAAAAAAATATTATTGATTTTTTCAAAGAAATTAACTAAAATTGTTTTTCTATTTTTTTTTTGTTTTGATGTAACATAACAGATTCAAAACGTACACCAAGATATTTAACTAATAGTCGTGGACGTAAACGTATACCCGGCACAGAAACAATAGAAAATCTAGTCAAAACTGTTGATATCAAATTTATTAATTTATTAAATCAATGTTTAACGTTAGTTATTTTATTGATTATTTAAATCTTTCCATTAATCATATTCATTACTGAAAAATTGATTGATCATCATTGATATTACTATCAAGTTGTAAGATATTTAGAGCGTTCCCATCATCTTCATTAAATTTCATCAGTTAGATAGATATATTGAAATTGTTCAGTTATTCATCATCGAACTCGAACTTAGTACCCTTCACTGTCAGTGTCATTGTATGATCCATTACCGGTATTGAGTTCATATAACTATCGGGTAATATTCTTATTATCTTTAGTTTTAAGAAAATAGTCGTATTATTATTCTTATTATTTTGTCTTTAGTAAATGATTTCTATATGTAACTCTTACAGAACTACTTAGTAAAATCAAACAACCATATATTGAATCGTAAATTTGCAAATTGTTCATCAATTGTCTCAAATCACTCAGAATCCCCTTGTTCTTGCATTTTCATACAAATTGTCTTTTGTCTTCATTCTTTATTGTTCGATCTTCTTATCTCTCTGCCGCCAGACATTTTGTTCAGTGCTCACGTCATATACTACTTATGTCTACATAAGTAGCACACACCACAGTAGTAGTAGTAGTAGTATAACCTTTATTCAACATTGTATTTTTGTTACACTATTGAATTCTCAGCATAAAGTATTTCAGCAAGTTTCCTTTTCTTATATCTTGATTGATCCTGACGATACATATTGAGTGATGGCCAGTTAGATGTTAGGAGTTCGATAACCGACATCTGAATAATGTTCATTCGTTTCAATGCATATTGCAAGCCACCATGATGTCGCTAGTTGTACCTTTTTGTAATCCGTACAGCGAAAGGTTGTAAACTTTTCATAAACGCGCCTGAATAGGTTGTGAGCTCAATAGACATAATAGTGTGTTAAAACAAACAAGAAAACAGATAACTTGATAAAATATGTAGATGGGAGGAACAGGTAGCCCAGATATTCAAGCAGGCCGCCGATAGCCGCATCATGTTATATGTTCACTATATGATCTGACAGTTTTAGAGTTCGATTCCTTGTAGGATTGTAAATAAACACTTCAGATAATTTGCATACTAGAGTTAATCATCTATTCAGTAATTGATAGTTTAAAATTATCATTTAAAGAACATCATTCCATGTTTTAGACTATAAAAATTTGACATTTCTTGGAATTACTAAATTTATATGTTATTTGAGATGATTCCTGTTTAATGAAATAATGGATTACTTTCGTTGTAGAATTGCTCGTATATCCTGGGACCACTGATTAAGTAATGCAGTTGTTAAGAAATGGATACTAGTTAAGGATGACAAATCAATTGATGAAGCAATGAAGCTTCATCAGTTGAAATGGCTGGGACATGTGTTACGTATGCTCAACCACCGACTGTCTCGACGTGCGATGTTTTATGATGTAGAGGTAGGTTGAAAGAAAGATACGGGCGGCCAGATCAAAACATGACACAAATCCATGAAGTCACTGACAAGTGGACTGAGCCATGTTAGTAGGTGTAGACTACATGGTTAGGATCTGCGAGATGATAGAAACCGACAGTTAGAGACCTTGACTGACAAGACTCAAGATTATTTCCAATGGCGTAAGTGCATCTACTCTTTGCGTTCTATCAAATTCTAATCTTCTCAATTCTTCATGTCCCTTTCTTTTTTTTCTCTTTTCAAATTTATTTCACTGAATTATACTCCATGAATAACAACTTCAAACCATAATCTTTCCGATTACTCCTTATACTACCTCTACCACTAAGGGATTTGAATCGACAATTGTATGTTTGTGCTAATGTGGTTTGGCAACCTGAACTGATGTACGTACATTGTTGCTGACTGATTAACTGATAGACTTCAAATACAAGTTATGGCAACTAGTAGCAGAATTTAATATGTATATTTCAACTGATTTGCAAGTTGTTTACTTAATGTATCATCATTCAAGTGTAAATGTTCACACTAATACTCGAATTCAATAAATCTCTTTCAACATACTCAACTCACTTTCCATTGAACGAATTCAGAAGTTCCTTGAATAACTCATGTGACCGGTTTCAGAGAAATGTACCGCGTTCGAATAACACTATCGATATGAACATTTAGATGCACATTGTGGATTTCATTATTAACTAGATATACTAAACATACAACAATTATTCATTTACATGTTATTTTCTTTCTATTATAGATGGGATCCAGATGAAAGAATTACACCAAATGAAGCATTAAATCATGAATGGATTATACGTGAAACTGAACAATCTAAACAAAATGTTACATTTCAAACAATGGAACAAACAAATTCAGAAAATAAACAAAAAGATACAATTGCTTAAATCTCTATATCTATCTCTATATAGATATTTATATAAAAATATGTAAGTTATTTTATATATTATGATAGTTTTCATGATATAACCGAGAGTGAGGATAGTCAGCTCTCCCTCTCGAAATGCTGTCACATGGCCTCAAGTATACTATCACTAACACTATCAGAAAATTCCTATTTACTGCCTTCTCAAACCATGAATGTTTTTTACGAAATTGAATGAACGAAAAGCGAATATCCGGAGGTTTAACCAGATTGTTAGATATGGAAGTTCCACCAACAGGAGTCGGAAAACCAATGGTGAACATGATCTCTAGGATTCTGAAGGAATAAATGGTGTATGAACCTATTGTTGGTTACCGGCTTTTATAGGACCTCATTGCCTTGTGGATTGGACCTCCAGGTCAAAGGCTTGGAGAGTGGCCCCCATAGGAACCCACCGTGGTTTGGTTTTGGCAACTGGACAGTATCCCGGTCCTAATTCAAAATGAATGATTTATGTGGTGCATGTCTATTTGGTGCCTCTTTGTACCAGTGTTTATGTGATCGAGTCAGTCAGGGAGCACCAGTCCCCTCAAGATTACAGACACACCTTACTGATGACTGCAAATAGCAAGAAACACTAGTCCAAAGTCTCCTGTTGACTACCTCCAACCACCACCTTGTAATTATCTTACTTGTTGTTGATTTCTACACTGGACTCACTGAGAGTAACCGCCTGTAATTGTATTGAATAAAATAGTGTCTAGTCTATACTTTAGTTCTCTTTTCTGTATCCTAATTCCTCATATCTGATATAACGTGATTAGTCTTATTATTGTATCAACGTATTATTATAGTATACATCCAAGTGAGAAAAATATTTTAAACTATTCGTTTCATTGTGGAATGTGCTACTGATATCGACACATATAAGTAGTAGTCAGGAGTGGATTACTTGATGGCATAAGGTTAGGAAGATCAAAGAATAGACAACGAGAACAGTGAATGGTTTGTGTGGAAACCAGGGAACAATGAACTCTGAGATTGAAATTTTTCAAATGAATTATTCATTCTATGGTTCTCAGATATCTACTAAGAGATTCTGTAATTAGGCATACAAATGCATTCCATTATCCTCATCGATGTTCTCATTCACTACAATATCAGTTACTAAGTGGAAATCTTCACGTAAGTATTAGTTCGTTCAAGATTACAATTACTCTTCCCCCAATAACTATCGATCGATATGAAGTCAAATCTCAGGGTTATTTATCAATGAAAGTATACTCTGATTTACACTTAAAATCAACCTCTGATTCTTTCCCCTTTTTGTGTAGTACAAATATAAGTTTATCTTGACAACAAATAACCAGTCAATCAATCAATCGATCAATCAATCAATCAGTCAATCATTAAGAAGAGATTCAATCTGTGAATAACACACTTTATACATAAATTTTTCAATCATATTTTATATTGGTACCATTTTAAGAAGGTGTATTTTATTTTAGGTAAGTCTGTCAATATGATTAAGAATTATTATGATTTAGTTATCTAACCTAAACCACTATTGAAAACCTTGAAGCAGTGGATGGCAGCTTCGTTCTGATAGTATGAGACACCTCAGCAGAGTATGAATCCACGATTCTGCACCAGTGACTCGAACCCAGAACTTTCAGTCTGTCGACATAAGTATATATATATATATACCACAAAACTAGTAACAAGATTCACTTGATGTTGGTTGTTTGCTTATATGTTGCCATTGTAAAAGAATTCCTGACAGTAAGAAAGATAATCTGAAAAGAATGAATGAATTCATGGGACAAAAAATGTATAGGTAAATTTTAAAACTCAGTATTTAAAAGTATCCCAGTGCCACCGATTCTGACCGAATCGTGTTGTTCAATGTCTACAACCACTAGGTAACAATAGTAAGTTGTACTTCGACAAGGCAGTCTACACATACTAGACTTGGACTTAGTCCAATGAACAATGATCGATGGTTGATTACGACTATTTGGAATTTCATAACACTATGATGTTATCTTGACTGGCAATGTGACATTTAAACTTGAATTAGAAAATGCAAACATCACTAATGACAAGATAATATGATACTGATCAATAGATGTACAAATCTCAGTCTTACAGAGAATGTTACTAGATGCCTGAACAACTCACCAACCATGACAGTGAATCCTAAAACATTACCGTTCCCATCAGAAACTACTGATTAATTTTCAGTAGTTTGAAGGAAAAGCGAAAAATAGAGGTTTATATGGTGCTCGTTGTAAATTGTATTTTGATTAAATTAAACTTTATACATTTCGCTGATGAAATACAGATCAATAAAATGAAATACAATTTGACATAAGTCGAGAACACGATATCCGATATGATATTGATTACTTTCTAAAGACCAATAGTTCATATATTTACGTGTGTACATTGATATATAAATATTAGATCAACAGTCATTTCTCGCGCCAACTATTCATATGTATTTTATCAAATACACTTACTTTTAGAGCATTTTCATTAGAATGGGGGTTTTTGGAGATTGTAGTAATTCTAGTAGTTGAATTCATGAATTGAAGTTAAACGGTCGCGTGCAAGGAAGAAGGTACTGGGTTCGAGTCCCGTGTTCAGGATCGTGGATGTGCACTGGCGAGGAATCTCATACTGCCAGAACGAGATGGCCATCCAGTGCTTCCATGTTTTCAATGGTGGTTTAGCTTATATCGACTAGTGAATTCAACCTTTAAAACGCTTGTCGAAGCAAAATAATATTCAATTTACATGTATGAAACATGAGTTCTGGTTGATCCAATCAAAGAATGTTCATAACGTTACCTACGTGATTACATCATATTTGGTAATAATGCTTGAAAAGAACTAGTTATGTATTAGCTCAACCATTCACAGCAATATGTAACTACAGTTTGACGGCAGAATCAAAACCCGGAAATTTTACATCGGTTAGTAAACATGATGCGTTTCAATCAACCTGAAATATTGAACAGTGCTGAGCTGATGTGATTGATGAAATATTGTCTATCTCCGTAGTTACAGCTTCCTAAAAGAATTTCAAGATAACTAACTTCAGTTTACAAACTATATCAATCATTCCGCTCAGTTTAATATTCATCTCACATTGGCATTATATTCTTTGTTACGAGGTAATCTGTAGTGTGTCTAACAAACACCTTTCAATTTTATAGTCAAGTTGTAAATTGTAGTGTCGACTACTACTATGTCAGCACCACATAGGTTATTCCGGTTTCCGGATAAGCCAGTTTATTCATCATTCCTCTTGAGTCATATTTTGACCTTGTCAATTATTCGCTTATCAACTTTCACTGTATTCATGTAAGCGTATGTGTATACACTTTTCATTCTATTCATCACATGTATGCAACTTGATTTTGAACTGAATATCAATATCGACTGACGCCTGATGAAATGGAGTTGACTCACACATCATCTTCACTGCACGTCATTTCGCTTCGCTCTCTTCTCTTCGTTCTCTTTTCTTCGATTTCTTCGCTTCGTCCCTCTGATTGTTCGTCCAGATCATTGAGTGTACAAAGTATACGTATTCAAACATTGACTGTCACATTTGATTTATTTAATTCCGTTATTCACTAACGTGAGTTAAGTCAATGATTATACAGGAGGATTAGTGACGTGTATAATTCAATAGCGATTAGATCCGGTCTAATTGGAGTGAGATTAATAGCCATTAAAAATTAAATATTGCTCGCATCTGTTGGTATCGCCCGGTAGGTCATAGTGATGTTAAACACAGATTATTACTGATTGATGGTAAATCAGTTGACGAGGTTGTAAATCTACATCGAACGAGATGGTTGGGTCACGTGTTACGTATGCCTGAGCACTGATCACCACGAAGCGCGATGATGACTTGTGTTGAAAATGGTTGGATGAAAGTTAGGGTTGGCCAAACTAAAATGTTACATCAGTTCTTGAAGTCATTAACTTCTAGTCTGAGCCATGTTGGTAGATGCAGACTAGTTGGTAGGGGGCCGCGTGACTATCGTAACCAATGGTTGGAGACTCTTGGTGACAGCTCAGAATCGATCACAATGGCATAGGTGTATACAGTCTCTTTATTCCCTTAAACTATGAGACTAAACTGGCTTCATATCTTTCTTTCTACCAACTAATTCTTTCATCCTTTACTATGTCCTTACATGCAATCTTCTTGTGCTGATGGAGTATGACAACGTGGACCGATGCACATATGTGCATGGTCCTACGTTGTAACTGACTGACTGACCATTAAAAATTCTGTGTATTAAACAAATACATATGCATAAAAATCTTTCATTCGATCATTCCATTCTGATTTCCTTTTTCTCCTTCTTCTTTTTCTTCTTCTTCTTCCTAACTTAGGTACTTTTCAACTATTTTGTTCAATCAATTACTCTTTCTAATTAATACAAGCAATATGTAATCAATCAACAGAACTGTTAATATGGCTACATGATGAAGGGTGATGCTATGAATGTCAAGAAAATTCTGATTGTAATTCAACTATGTATTATTTGATATTATAATGTATGTTATTTGACTTATTGTTTTTCTGGTTAGCGCTTTTGTTTTCAGCGGGTTAGTTTTCTATGGGATGAGGTCTCTAACCCCATGCTCAACTGTCCTCGTTTATCCAGGCTTGGGACCAACAGGAGCTCCAAAGGGATTGCAGGGAGGGAGTTATAAATTATGTTTCATAAATGTAATCTTGTATTACTGAATATATTTTATTTGGGAAAAAAGTGAAATACTGATGATGCTAATCATCGTATCTGCTATATACAATTAGTTGAAGAGTTTAGGATTCGAATCGTTGAGCACTAGGGTTCGAACTTCCTTCTATTCGATTTTGATTAGCTGATTTGTTTCGCTTGTGTACAGCTTATAGAGATATTTGACTTTAACAAGTAATACATTGGTTCTTTTGAAATAATGAGCTGATCTGAGTTAGACTTCCACTGAAAACCTAGAAATACTGTGAGGTTGTTTCGTCATACTATTGAACTCTCAAGGAAAGCTCGTCTACGACCACACAACTATAGATTGAGCTCAGGGCTCATGATTTCGTGTAAGAACACCCGACCTCAAAACCGTTGAGCCGGAATCTAGTAGTTTTAATGTCTACCTTCAGACAACCCATGATGTTACATGATCATTGTTTGTTATCTTCAGAGACCAGCGAAACAAAAATGTGTCTGGTGTGGGGCAGCTACTCACCAATGGAAGACGACCTCGAAATATGGTGGATTGATTGCAGTTAGATATTAACGCTGTTGGATGCCACCTAAGTGGTATAGAAGTTCACCCACAGGACATCATATCTTGTGTTTGATCCACGTGCGGGGTCATGAATGTGCACCACTTGATTATTCAGTAGTATGACGAAACGGTCATCCAGTACTTTCAGATTTTGAGTGGAAGTCTAACACTGATCGGTTCATGATTTCAGTGAAATTCAACAATTAGAAGATCCCATTGGTTATGATTAGGTTATAGGTTCTATTTTATATGCTGCTGACTCAACCAGTGGGATAAAACTGGATACACATCTGTATTGAATTACATAACAGGTATATTCAATCAATAGTAATTGTTATGAGTAAGGATTTTCAGGTTTTGACGAGGAAATTTTCCACCGTTAAATGAATGAAACGAATACTGATCGATAGATGAAATTCAGTAATAGGATTTGGCCGGGCGATGATTCTTAAAGAGAACGAGTTACTAACGGGATTCCTCTGTTTCGATAATTGAACTGTTATCAATAGCCAGCTATCTAACCAATAGATTAGGTTGTTTACATAACAGATTAATAACATTTTGCATAAAAAGTATTGATAGAAAAATAAACATGATTTACTGTTACTGGGGAGGGGAGGAGAGGAGAGGGAATGGGAGGGAGTCGATTTTTTACAGGTCACTTGTAATCTTTAAACAATTAAGAGTATAGGAAGGAGTTTTGTGGAGAATTTAGAAAATTCACTGGTTGAAATCGTGAGTTAATTGAAGCTAGACCACCACGAGAAACCTGGAAGCACTGGTTGGCCGTTTCGTCTTGGTGCGGGATCCCTCAGCAGTGCGCATTCACGATCCCGCTCAAAGGATTCGAATACAGGACCTATCCGTCTCATGTCAGGCGCTTAATCAACTAGACCACTGAGCTGACCGGCATCCAACGGTGTTAATGCCTAACTTCAACCAATCCACGAAGTTGCGCTGCCGTACACCATTTTCTTAAGTGAGCTGATATCTCACAACAGACCTGGTTGAACTCCAGTGCTTCCTGGTTTTCCATAGTGGTGGTCTAGCTTCAATTGACTCATGGTTTCAACCAATTAAGAGTATGCCAATAACATCAGATACTGAAACAAAGTTTAGAATATGAATTCATAAACACGATTTGTTCAACTAGAAATATGATTAACAAACTTTTCTGATCGAAACATATAAGCTACTTGATCCAATGTATCGATACTACTTATAAATAGTTATTCTTTAGCCTCTGCTATGATCGTTATTATTGTCAGTAGTATTAGTATTAGTAGTAGTAGTAGTAGTGCTGTGTATGTTATTTATGACGACGTACATACGTAGTATATAACACCAATCAGAAGTAGAATGCCTGACAGTAGAAGGTTGAGAAGATCGAATAGAAGAGAATGGGAATGTAAACAGAAAGTATTAGTAATAGCAGTGAAGGAACTATGAATGGTGGATTTGCAAATGAAGTATTTGATGTATGGTTTTAACGTTTTATGAAAGAACTTGGTAATTTTGTATTAAACAATGAATTGGTTCCCCCCACCTCAGTGTTCGTTGACTACAGTAGCCATAATATTGAGTGCTTATGATCATTGATCCTAGTCTCTGGTTACATAGCAACTAATGCAAATGAATCACCTAGTGAATAATATTTTAACGTACACAGTGATAAATATTCAAATCGAGTTTCGGTTTGAAGTTTAAATTAAAAGTGAAAATGTATCCTTGATTCTAGTTTGACCCACATAGAACCTGTGATGTTGAATAATTTGAAGTTACCGTCATTAGATTAAAGTTTTATTTCATTTTATGCTCTGTGGTAAGCGCTATTTTCAATAATAAGGGGACTGAATCAATATTACCCAACGTCAAAGACAGTGTTGTAATGAATCAAGGATGCTCATTGATGAGGAGTTCAACAGTAGGACGAAAAGGTCATCCAGTTCTTCCAGACTTTGAATGCTGGTCTAACATCAATGGGTTCATGATCGCAATCAAAAACCTAGTCATCTCTAAAACCTCATTCTGATTTTAATGAAGCTGTTCTATACTGACGATTATGACGTTATCAGAATGGGTTTTGTGGAGATTGTAGTAATTTCAATGGTTAAGATCATGAGTCAGTTGAAGCTAGACCTCCATGGTCAAAACAACTGTCTGTCAACCAATAATAATACGAACATCAAGACAGTGCTATTGTACGAAGCTGAAACTTGAAGAACTACTACAACCATCATCAAGAAGGTAAAAGTATTTATAAATAGTTGTCTACGCAAGATACTCAACATCTATAGGCCGGAGATCATTAGTAAAAGCCTTCTGTGGGAGAGGACGAACCATCTTCCAACTGAAGAGGACATTAGGAAAAGACGATGGAAATGGATAGATAGAACATAAATCACGCAAATCATCAAACTGCATCATGAGGCAAGCCCTAACTTGGAATCTTGAAGGGGAGCGGAAAACAGGACGGCCAAAGAACACATTGCGTCGGGAATTGGAAATAAACATGAAAAGCCTGAATAGCAATTGGAAAGAAGGATTGCTCAGGACAGGGTTGAACCTTATGCTCCTCTACGAGAAGTATGTATTTCACAAACATCCAAATAAAATGAATGTTGAAGCAGTTTGATTAAAATAAATCAACATGGATGCAATGAAAAGAGTATTGATTTTAAATCTTGTTCTGAAATTGGAATATTTTATTTAACTATATTTAATACTTTACTGAACCCCTTTCTATTTTATATATCAGGCAGGACATTACTACATATATCTTCATCTAAGTATACGTCTATACTGTCGACTTTGGGTTAAACTGTATTACCTAACATAACCATCAGTCACTTCTACTCGATTGTAATTATCATCTCATCTACTTTCATTCTGTTTATTGATTCACTTGTTCCATCCAGCCAATATCTTTAACTATGTAATAGATCAATATCATGTATCTAATGGCAAGTCGTTGTGATGACAAGACTAATCGGAATACTGACTGCAACTTGATCCATAGAATTTGATGGTAACTAAGGAATAAAGAAATATGATACAAATTACTCACTCAAATTTAGTTTGAATAATAACGTCTTAATCTGTCAAAGTAGAATGGAAAGTGTTCGAGTCCGATGATCACAAGTAAGCTTTGTAGAGATGAGTAATGACTAGCTCAAAATCTATATCCAATGAGGATTTCCTGTAGAATCATTCCAACCACTTAACATGTATATATACAATCTCTAATGGGAAAACGATTCGATACTAATGACAAACGATACGTTTCTTTTTGTAAAATAAGGATACTTGTCAACAACTGAAACATAGAAAATAGTTTTCATATTTAACATCACCACCACCAACCGAATCTTAGTTAGACTACTAATATAGACCTAGAACTCCTGAATATCTTTTTCATCCCAATAGGAATTGATTGAAATGAGACAGATATTAACATCAATCGATTCCAGCTTATCAATTCTAGTGAATAAGTATATCTCGTTTAAGACCCATAGTCATGAATCAATACTGATGAAGAATCCCAATGCTAACATAAAACATTCATTCAGGTATTCCAGACGTTCAGTAGTGAATATACCATCATCTCCATAAATCCTTCATACGAATAAAAACTCAGATATTTTTCTTATTTTATTTCAATAAATAAAAAAGTTCGTCATGAATGTTTATTTGTTTTTGTTTTTGATAAAATAATAATGAAAAAAAATTTACAAAGGGAGATGTTAAATTACTTGTCACCATAGCAACAAAGATGATAATAATAATAATCATGGTAATAATATTCATTTTATTAATTAAGTGAAGAACACGATAGAATATAAAGAATTTTATTGAGAATAAAAATAAGGATCAATTATTAATGAGCCATTCTCAATGAATTTAGTTATGACTGGCTTCATAGTTCCATTCAGTATAACCATAAATTGAATTTGGGATGTTTCATATAAAGATGAATCATAATAGTAATTTGGAAAGCATTTTGTTCGATGGAACTGATGAGGACAACAGAGACGAAAGATGGAAGTGACACAAACACACACACAGAGATAAGGGGGAGTATATGTGTGTTCGTGATCGAAAGTTTACCTAATGTTTTCACGGACTTCCAAAGGTGTGTATAACAAACATATTGTAGATACTACTGAGTACAATATTAGTAGTATATATATATATATATATATATATAGAGAGAGAAGTGAAATTATACCTCCCAGGCTATTATTATTATTATTATTATTATTCTATAACAGGAGCATTGTAACAAAAGTCATTGAACGGTTAGTCATAAAAATGGTTAACTTGGAATAAATAGAAAAATAATTTAGAAAAAAAACTAGTTTCCTACTGATTTTCTTTTCTTTTTCAAAAAAAAACGAAAAAGAAAAAAGAGAAAAAACAAAAGAAAGAAAGAAAATCAATAAATCAATAAGTTGTTTGATGAATATTGATCACAGATTAATTAATGAATTCTTTCATTCATTCATTCATTATTCTTAGAACAATCATGATAGTAGTTTAAATGTATAAAGAGAGAATACCTTATTCATGATTATCAGTAATAATAATTTAATAGAAGTATATACTTTTTTTAATAAGATTTTAATGACTACTAACAACCATCAATATAAGTAGTATAAATGATAATTGATTGATGAGTAGTATTGTGTGAATGTATGTAGATAAAATAGAAAGAAAATGGTTATCCATTTGAATGATACAAAATAATAGAATCAAATGACAAACAGTTCATGATCGTTCATGATAACATAATTAATAATGATCTACTACATACACATATGGGGGTTATCATCAATCATAACAATAAATTATGAGCAAAACAGAGCAGCAACAAATTCAATCGTTTGTTACTGTGGTGATATTACGCAACAATATTATTTATCATTATTAAGTCAATTCAATTCAATTATTATTATTATTATTATTATTATATTCTACTAACCTTTTAAGGCTGTAACGTAACAGTTAGTATTGTTCATTGTTTTTCAATCAATAATCCGTTGATGGAAGACTCTAAACAGAGATATTCAGAGAGAGAAAGAGAGATTAGGAGAAGGGAGAAAAGAGAAAAGAAGTAGTTGAATAAACTCAATGTTAAAATGCCATCAGTTTAAAGTTTTATATATAAGATTTAAACACTTATTGATGTTCTATTGATCAAAAGGAGTAAAGATTGATGTGTACTAACCACCATAAAAGTTGAGTTCATTAAAGTTTCCTCCTGGATTGTATTGAATTAGTTAACATAGAGATATACTTAAATGTAACCATCATATTAACAAAGAAAATTCATTGAACATTTCAAGTGAACGGAATTATAAACTTGATGATTTCGATATATGTGTATATATGGAAACAAATGAAGAAATCTATTTGTTGCTATGCACATTACATTTATTACGAAAGGACAATTTAATGTTATAATTTCACTTCCTGAAATAGTTTAGTAGGTTATGTAACTAGTAATTGGTTATAGATATCTTCAAAGTAATGATTGGATATATTAGGACCATTAAACGACAAAACAAATCAGTTGATGAAGGAGTATTTATTTAGCAAATGTGGTGACTGGGACTTATGTGTAATGACCGTCTAGCTCCACATGTGATATTTTCTGGTATAGTAATAAGTCAAAGTGGAACTAAGGGTGACCACTCAGAGGCATACTATCAGTCTATAAACTCACTAACTAATGGATTGATTCATGTTGGTAGATATAGATTATCTGGTTAGCATTCACCTGATAACCACAACCAATTGTTAGAGATGTTGGATGATATGGATTACAATCATTCCAAGTTAAACATATAGATTTTGCTCTTTATCTTCTATCCTTAACCTTTTCCACTACTGTCGTTAAGAGATACTTTGACTTAAAATTATTGATTGTACACTCATTCAACATCTTGTTACATAATGATAGGATTACTATAGTCAGAAATTTATTTTATTTGTTTAAACATAAAAACATTGGTACAACGAGGCACCATATAGATATACGCCACATAAATCATTCGATTTGTGTGACGGCTGGAATACAACCTGGATGCCTAAATCAATGCAGGTGGTTTTCTTAGGGGACCACACCCCGAGTGTTTGATTTAAAGGTCTAATCCACGAGGCAGTGGAGCAACGTTAGGAGATGCAGTCCCATAGTAGCCAGTGACCAACAATAGGTTCATATACCATACTTTTCCTCTGGATCCTCGAGCTCATATGCACCATTGGTTTGGAATTAGGGTTTCCCAACTGTCCTAGGTGGATCCTCTATATCCAGAAATAAAAATATTCTATCTGAACTTGTCTCATCTATATATTCATTTATCAATTCAATCATACTTGTAGGACTAATTACATCGTTCAATAAAATTAAGTAAATTCATAATTAAATAAATAATGGATCTTTGAAAATTATTAAATATATATGTAGTTTATATCATATACCAACTGATTTAACTCAGATAATTAATAAACAATTAGGGAGTACTCATTGTTGAACTTTATAACGATCAACATACTTCACTTCAACAAGAATCATGACAAGATTTCTCTTACGAAACTTTAACATGTCAGGTATGTAAGATAAAAATATTGATAATGAGAATAAATAATAGTTGTCTTACAATATTCAAAATTCAATGAAGTTAGAAATGTCAAATCTTGGATGTTAATTCATCAGTATAAAGTTTAAAAGATCACCAATTGATAGGAATTATTCTAAATCCAATTCTTTGTCTATATATATACATGTACATAGCTATAGAAGTGTAGATAGGAGGACGTTATGGAAACTTCTTCGACACTACGGAGTTCCTGAGAAGATTGTCAACACTATCCGGAACTCATACGATGGACTACAGTGCAAAGTAGTGCATGGAGGACAGCTGACAGACGCATTCCAAGTAAGGACCGGAGTAAGACAAGGCTGTCTACTCTCTCCCTTCCTGTTTCTTCTGGTGGTCGACTGGATTATGAAGACCTCAACATCTGAGGGAAACCACGGCATACGATGGACAGCTCAGAACCAATTCGACGACTTGGACTTCACAGATGACCTAGCCCTCCTATCACATACACACGAACAAATGCAGATAAAGACAGCCAGAGTAGCAGCAGTCTATGCATCAGTAGGCCTCAACATACACAAAGGGAAAACCAAGGTCATCAAACACAACACGGAGAACAGCAATCCAATCACTCTTGATGGCGAAACTCTGGAAGACGTGGAATCCTTCACATAACTGGGAAGCATCATCGATAAACAAGGAGGTTCAGATGCAGACGTCAAAACGAGGATTGGCAAAGCAAGGACAGCGTTCCTTCATTTAAAGAACATATGGAACTCAAAACAACTTTCAAACAATATCAAAGTCAGAATCTTCAATACGAACGTCAAGGCAGTTCTACTGTACGGAGCTGAAACTTGGAGAACTACAACAACCACCATCAAGAAGGTACAGGTATTTATTAATAGCTGTCTACGCATGATACTCAACATCCATTGGCCGTATACCATCAGCAACAGCGTTTTGTGGGAGAGAACCAACCAGCTTCCAGCTGAAGAGGAAATTAGGAAAAGACGATGGAAATGGATAGGACATACATTGAGGAAATCATCAAACTGCATCACGAGACAAGCGCTAACTTGGAATCCTGAAGGGAAGCGGAAAAGAGGAAGGCCAAAGAACACATTACGTCGGGAAATAGAAGCAGATATGAAAAAGATGAATAAGAACTGGAAAGAGCTTGAAAGGATTGCCCAGGACAGGGTTGGATGGAGAATGCTGGTGAGCGGCCTATGCTCCTTCACGAGGAGTAAGAGGCGTAAGTAAGTAAGTAAGTAAGTACATAGCTATAGAACCCTGACCATAGGATGAAATAGTTATCTCATTAAGTAAGTGAAGAATAGAATTTAAATATTCAGTTCATTGATCGATAATTTATGGATCATTAATTGATCATTATCTATTTCCCTTAGTGATATTTATCTCTCTCTCTCTCTCTAACATGACTAAGATCACAGTGATTATGACTTCACATTTGAACTTGATCGTTCAATCATTAGTTCAATTGTAACTAATCATTAATGAAGAGTTATATTCTAGAATAAAAAGACTATTCAATTCTATTCAAGTTTTAATCGTTATCTTAGTCACATCAACAATCTACACCATCCTTATACATTAACTTCTATAGTTTTAATAATAAGAACTAGAATATGAACAATCTCTATGGTTCAATTGGATAATGTAACAGCATTAATAGTACAATACTAATTAACCTTAAATGTTCAATAGAACAAATATGTTTAAATCTGTTATTTAGATTATTTGTTATTTCTATTTACAATTATCAAATTCTAATAGTTGTAATCATGACTCCATTGAAGCTAGACCACCATAGAAAACCTGGAAGCACTGGACAGACGTTTTGTCCTAGTATAGGACTCTTCAGCAGTGCGCATTTACAAAATCCCTAATGATAATAATCATCTACTCACTAGTGTCTGAATTCAAGAGGCATTTTCTGGAGTTCTAGTGAGAAGCCGTTACCAGTGAAGTTCAATCAGATCTGTCGTGAGATAGTAACTCACTGATGACAATGGTGGACGATGACGCAAATTCATAGTTCGCTTGAAGTTAGACATTAACACCGTTGATTGCCGTCCAGCTCAGTGGTCTAGTAGTTAAGCGCTTTCTTGCGAGACTGATAGGTCCTGAATTCGAATCTCATGAGGCCAGACAGTGGATGCGCACTACTGAGGAGTCTCACAATAAAACGAAACAGCTATCCAGTGCTTCCAGGTTTTCCATGGTGGTCTAGCTTCAATGGACTCATGATTTCAAGTATTGAAATTTTTGAAATCTCCACAAAACCCTTGTGATAGTTATCAAATCGTTTTAATGTCGTTGTTGTTGTTGTAGTTTGCTTAAACTTACTTGCATCAATAATCGTTGAGTTGGACTTTTTATTAGTTGAGCTTGTGTTGTTGTTAGACCACGTGATAAAGTTTTCTAAAAATAACATAAAATATAATTTAAAAGTATTATAAGCAAAGATCAAGGACGTGTGTTTCGTCCTATTTAAGACTCGTTAGCTGGATGTACCTTCATCTTATAGATGATGTATACTCTGAGACTCGAACCAAGTACCGTGAATTCCAAATATTAGCATTTTATAATCATTAGAATGAATGAACTGTATTTGTAACTGAATTAAGCATGAATATGAAATTTGAATATTCTATGATATTTATACTATAAGATCTTTACAATATTGTAAAATAAGCTATCATTGTTTCACTTGATAAGCCTATATCTTGAAGACTTTTGTAATAATGATAGATTATGTGTTAAAGTCTAAGTGATTACCGACTATATTTCCAAATTTAAATGAGTATCTTTAAGGACAGACCATGGGTGAACTTGAAGAAGCTGTAAGAGGCTCAGAATTCCTACATGTAGCTTCCCGATTAGACAATGCTATTAACCCCCTATATGCGGACTGGAGGACTGTAATGATGATTTCGTTCTTACTAAAAACTATAAATACCTGACAATTTTTTACTATAATTGACACTGTTTGGAATAATCTTTCTTTCACTAGTCTTCTGTTTTTTCATTACGACTTGGAAGGGTTTTGGCTTTCTAGTTCTCAAGTTATACGCGGTATATCAAGATAACAACCATCTAGATATAACATTATCAATACACATAGAAGATAATATTTTTTATTGTGGGTGAACTAAGCTTTTAGTGAAATGTTTACCTATATCTTACATCCTTGTTTTTCTATTGTTCCACTTTAAGTGTGTAAGTAATCTGAGGTTATAGGGGAAGCTAGTAAGTTAGTAACAAGGATTCAAGTAGAAAACGTAACATAGAATAACAATGAATTATTATCATTATTATTGCTTAGTTTAGACAGAAATTGAGTTAAATAAAATGAAGTACCACACAAACGTTGTCTCTTTATTTTCCTAACTTTTCAGCAGTTGAAATGTTTGCAATACATTACGAGGTATCAGAATCTTATATGAAACCTCTTTCTCCGACACGATCTTAACTTTCAGTTCTTAAAAGCTATGATACTTCAATGTTTCCTGGTCTATGTACGTATCATCTAAAACTGACTTGATTTTGTTTGGTCAGTCAAATTTCAACACATAATCTTTTTATGTAATCATTTACGCAGCTTTTAATCTTTATCTAAGGTTTATGATATTCAGAAAGCTCGATTGGATTTTGCCAACTTACGTCACCTATGGCGAAGGCGAGATATTCGTCTATCAATAAAAGGACGAGTATACTGTGCAGCAGTTCACTCTGTTCTAATTTACAGATGCGGAACGTGCCCATCAAGAGTTAAAGATACTCGTAAGCTATTAGTATTTGACTACAGATGTCGTAGAAATATTGCTCTCATCTGCTGGAATCACCGGGTAAGTAGTGGTCAGATTAGATTCAGGGTATTAGGGAGTGATGATGGTAAATCAGTTGATGAGGTTGTGAATCTTCATCAACTGAGATGGTTGGACCACGTGTTACGTATGTCTAAACACCGATTACCGCGGCGCACAATTCTGACTAGTGTTGGAGATGATTGGAAGAAAGTTAGTGTCGGCCAAACGAAAACGTGGCATCAGTACTTGAAGTCACTAAATTCTGGTGTGAGCCATGTTGGTAGATGCAGATTACTTGGTTGGGGTGTGCGCAACTATCGTAACCATTGGTTGAAGACTCTGTGTGACATGTCTCAGAATCGATCACAATGGTGTCGGTGTACACACTCTTTGTCTTCCCTTAAACTGTGAGATTAAATTCGCTTCATATATTCCTTTCTACGTACTAATTCTTTCCTCTTGTACTATATCCTTATATTCAATCTTTCTTATATATATTACTATCATTAAAGTGTCTACTTCTATGAATTTGGTGTTCATCTTGGTTGTGCTAATGAGGTGTGGCAACTTGGACCGATGCACATATCTGCTTGGTCGTACATTGTAGCTGACCAACTGACTTATGACATTTTTTCAACAATCATTATTTAAGGTTTTCAATAAGAATACTACATTTTATTTCTATTATTTTGTTACTGTGCTCACGTAATCATTGAATCGTTGAATAAGCGTACACATATGTGCTGACCCAAATTGCCATATATGATTGACGTGACATGATAAAAATAGCAAAACAGATCGAATTACTGTACTAATAATGATATAAAGAAAGACTAAACATTAGGTATATGATTTGAAAAGACGTATTAGAGGGGTACACATGAAGAGATATTGCCATTCATGATTGAGAGTTAGATAAAGAATGAATGTGATCCGCGCTACTGTGAACGATTCTAATCTATATCACTTAAAGTCTTCAAACACTGACCATATTTATCTCGAAGCACCAATCACATTGTTATTACCTACCAACCATCAATGACTTCATGGACTAATGTCGCGTTTTTGTCTGACCGCTGAGTGTGTCTAACTAAGTTGGCACTTATCTATAACGTATAGAAATCAACATACCAATTTAATTATCTTGTACCCTTTTAAATATTATGAAAACCTTTAATTTCTCAGTATAATAAACTGCATTGATATAATGCATAGTTGATCATTTGATACACAAATAGCAAACTGTGTTTTACAATAATATCTATTTGTTTTAAAATATAATTTTTTGATTAAGATCATGAATCGATTGATGTCAGACAACTTGGAGGTACTGGACGGCCGTTTCACCTTATTGTGGGACTCCTCAGCAGTACGCATTCAATACTTCTAGTGAGAAGTCATGACCAGTGGGGCTAATCCATGTAGGATAGAGACAATTATCTACTACAGTATAACGGAAGATGTCTGCGCATTTTCGCCGATTGGTTGTGATTAGACATTAACAACGTTGGATACCGACTCGGGTTAAGCGTTCGCACGCGAGACTGAAGGCCCTGGTTTCGAATTCTGCCGGCGAGATCTTGGATGTGCATCGTTGAGGAGTCCCACAGTAGGACGAAACGGTCGTCCAGTGCTTACAGCTTTTTCAATAGTTGTCTAACATTAATCGGTACATGACCTCAATCAAAAACTTAATAATCTCCACAACCCCATACTGATAATTGAAATATAATTCACACACAGTAGACTGAAGAATACTAAATAGGTCGAAACCTTTATCCTGTCTATCATTGATGGTTACTACCTAACTTTATCGAAATTTTTTAATTAAACGACAATATCTAGGTAATTTTTCCAAGACTCCCATATTCCAATAAATACAGATCATTCTTACATAGTTAAACATTTGGAGATTGGTTAAATGTTATGCTCACGTGATTGGCCAAGATATGGTTTTCATTTCTAAGGAACGATACATATACCACTTATTGGAAAATCTAGCTTCAATTTCCAAACGACGAATAAATATTCACATATAAATTGATATGAATACAGACCTATTTCTCAATTTGATCTTCTCACTCATGTAACCAGATATGTTCATGTTAAGTTCGTTATACTTAACTGCTACTACTGATTCGTCTAACTCCGAACAGAACAAAGTTTCGTTGGATTCAGAGACTTGATCAAAAAGTCTTGGTAAAATATGAGTTTTGGGGATCTAACGCCTCCGACACTCTTCCCCTTTTTAATAGTGTGTGTTCCTAGGGTTGACCTGCACCTTGACTGTTGCTCGCATCCTACTTTGTACGTGGATCGCTTTTCAAACTTTGTCCGTAATGGTGTCGTGCATTATTTGGATGCATCAGGCTGTGGATCGTCTTCAGTCTTCTTTCCATGAGGACCTCTGCTGGGGACTTCCGCTCATTTGATGTTGTTCGGTACACGTATAAGAAATTTTGCAACGCGTTCGCTGGCGTCCCCTCCCCTTTCGTTTTAGCCAAAGCTCTTTTGAACTTATCCAGATATCTGCCTGCCTGCCCATTTGATTGCGGTTGATATGGTGACGACCATAAGTGCTTTATGGCTGGCCGTTGACAGAATGACTGGAACTGGCTGGAGGTGAACTGTGAACCATTGTCAGATACAATGGCACCCGGTAAACCATTTTGGGAGAAAATTTCTGTGAGGATTTATATTGTTTTAGTCGTCGTTGTCGGTATTATAGCGTTTTTTTCTGGCCATTTCGAAAGGACGTCGACTACAACTAGATATATGGTTCCGTTAATCGGGCCTGCAAGGTCGACGTGTATCGTGGACCAAGGATGATCACGTTGTGGCCATGAAACTGGTGGAACTTTGGCGTTCACTTTTGCCGCTTGCTGACACCGCATACATTTTCCAACCAATTCTGTCATATTTTGATCCATTAACGACCAATATTCATGACTCCTGACTATGGATTTCATTCGTCTAACCCCAGGATGACCGAGGTAGAACTGTTTCAGCACTTTTGCACGAAGTTATTCTGGCACAACCACTCTCTCCTAACATCAAGCAGTCGTTTACAATGCATAGAGAATCCCGCCGCTGACAGGGCTGTTTCATGTCACCATCGAACTTCTTAGACGGTAAACCGTTGGTGACATAACTCAAAGTCATCTTGATGACGGGGTCGCTCTTAGAAGCATTTTGTATGCCGGTTGCAGACACCAGAAAAGCTCGTATTGCGGTCATCAGATAACATTCGGCGTGGTTTTCCGCTAGCAGAGATGCGACTACCGTGGTTTTCTCAGCCACCATCTGGTCACTAATGAGTCATGATAAGGCATCCGCCTGACCGAGTTGTTGAGTGCGTCGGTATTGGATCTCGAAACCATACCCCAAGAGTGCTAAGGCCCATCCTTGAAGACGATTCGCAGCATGAGCTGGAATGCCAGATTTCGACCCGAATATTGCGAGTAAAGGCTTGTGATCTGTGAGAAGCGTGAATCTCCGACCGTATAGGAACTTGTGGAAACGGCGCACAGCAAACACAAGCGCCAGAGCTTTCTTTTCTATCTGGCTGTATTTTTTTGCTGTGGTCAGTGTGCGGGATGCATGAATAACGGCTTTTTTCGACGCATCCAGAAACTGAAGTGAGATAACAGCGCCTTGGCCATACGCTGAAGCGTCTGCAGCTACGATGATAGGCATGGCTGGATCGTAGTGTGTCAACAGCGATTCCGAACAAATAATGAACTTCAGTTTACAAAATGCCGCGTCACACTATTTAGTCCAGTTCCAAGGGATGTTCTTCTTCAGTAAGCTATTCAGTGGAGCACGAATATCGTGCATCGATGGAACGAATGCTGAGTAATAGCTGACAAGTCCCAGAAAGGAACGAGACATTAGTGGGAGTGGGCATCAGTTTTATAGCTCTTATATTCTAAGGATCCGGTCTGCGGTCATTGGCATTGAGAACGAATCCCAAGTACTTTACCGACTGCAAATAAAACTGGCATTTCTCTGGGCTTAACCGGGAACCTGTTGTCGTTGATGCGTTGCAGTACCAACGTCGTGCGTTCTCGTAGCTCTTTTAATGTCGACGTTACAATTAAAATGTCATCCAGATAAGCCGCGGCTTCCGAGATACCTGATAGGATGGTATCCATTAGTTGCTGAAAAATAGATGGGGCAGTTTTGACCATGAAAGGTAGACGGTTATATTGGAATAAACCACGATGGGTATTGATAGTTAGCAGCTCTCTTGATGCTTCATCTACTTCCACTTGCAAATAAGCATTAGCTAGATCCTGTTTATGGAAAAACCTTCTCCCATTCAGCACGGTAAATGGGTCTGCAGGAACAGGCAGGGGATAATGTTGTCGTTGCAAAGCTGCATTGAGACCTGTTGAAACGTCAGCACATATACGTATTGTGCCGTTAGCCTTCTTGATAAAAACTATAGATGCTGCCCATGCAGAATAGGAAACGGGAGTAATAACTCCTTTTTGATGAAGGCGATTCAATTCTTCATCTACTGTTTGTAATGTTGCATTAAGGCACAAGTCTCTTTGGACAAAAAGCAAGTTTAGCCCTAGTTTTCAATCGATGTGTTGCTTTCATGGCAGAGCACCGACCTAATCCAGGTTGGAAACTAGTTGAAAATTGTGTCATTAAGTTCCTTGTATATGCTTCCAAGTCATGTGGTTGTTGTCGTAGTTGGGGTTGTGATACCAGGTTGCATATGGTATTCAACGGGACATCAGCTAGATTTAATTGATCAAACCAATCTAACGCGAGTAAATTTAGATCAGCTGGCGTTATTTAACATACCCCACCAAGTGCCGAATCATGGAAAGTAACTGTACATTTCATTTGTCCAAGTAGGTGAAGGTAATTACCACACGCAGTACGAGGTTTTTGCATTGTACGCTGCAAGTTTGAACTGTCCATTTTGATCCAAATCTTACGTGTGAGGTTAGTGACATCTTATGCAGTATCTATTTGCAATCTAGATGAATGCCCATTAATATTAACAGTAATAAATTTTCTCTCACTAGGTGATGAGCTTTGACACGAAAATATCAAGCTCAATGAATTAGTGCGGGATCTAGCAAGGGTCTTTTTGGTATTTCTGGATTGCCTTGGATCTTTCTTCCTCAGACAAAACCCATCCTTATGACCGATAACCTTACACTTCTTGCATCAATGTTATTAAAATGGACAGTTTCGAAAGTAGTGCCATGCAGTACATTGGTAGCAAGGAGCAGGGGGATTCGTTTTAGTTTGGGATGAACTGGACGAAACAGGGACGTATTTGTTTTTGTAAGGTATCTGTTGCACCACTCGTACTTCAGATTGGCTAGACCCACCACCATCAAGAAAATTCAGTACCTGGTATTTTATGATAGTCTTATTAAGGTCATTACTTGATCTAAGCAATAAAATGAAACAATTGACTTATAACACTTAATAAACTTACTGATTCATTTGAACATTTATGTTTATCAACTTTATTTAATTCATTTGAATGCATTAATGAATGAATATATGGTTGATAATATGGGAAACGTTTACCAGTTGGTGATAATTGACGTTTTATATTTTTTATTTTTTCTAGATTTATTTGTTGATTCAATGGTGGTGATGATGATGATAATGATGATGAGGGTATTGATGATGGTGATATTAATTGTCTTTTAGAATTATCTAATTTATATGGACTAATTGATTGTGGTGAGTGTGTTCGATCATAGATATCTGGTTTTATCATAGATAAATGGGATGGTGATATAATCATTGGTGTATTAATTGGGGTAGAAGTATTTGAACAATTTAAATGAGTATATGTTTGATTTAATGTATGTTTTGATGGATTATAGTCACTATGCTGATGGTCACGTTGACGAGGTTGTGGTGATTGATGATGATGATGATGATGATGTTGAGGCGTATAATCATGTTGATAGTGAGCTTGTTGTTGTTTTTGTTGTTGTTGTTGTTGTTGCTGTTGCTGTTGTTGGGGTCGTTGATGATGATGATGATGATGATGATGTGACATATTGACAGGATTATTTGAATGTCTTTGTTTATTATTATTATCGAATAAATCTTGATATTCATCATAAGATTTAATGGGATAATGATTAGTAGTTGACATGGTAGTTTTATCTAAATTTCCTGGTTTATTCATATTGTATAAAAATGTTTTCAATGAATCACTTAAACGTGAATTTTCCTCCTTTGAAATAAAGAAAATTTTACAAGATAAATAGAATAGAAGAGAAATTATTATGATGCTTTGACTGTTTATAACAATAACGGATAGTGATGGAATCTAGAATGCATGTTTCGTCCTACCTGGAACTCATCAGCTTCGATTTATCTGAAGTTTACCAAACTGAAACTTAACTAAAGTCAATCTAATTAGTCCGTTCAAGAAGTGAATAACATAATAACAGAAACACTATTCATTATCAGTTCTCAGTATCAATAACCAGATATTACTAATACTTGCTAATTCATTAAGTATGTTGTATCAAGTACAGACAGATAGAAGAATACAGTAGAGTTTCATTCTCTCAGATGGATTCTTAACCTCTACCAAATTATGGAAATGGTATCCAGTGATTAACAGATTCAACTTGTTGTCGGTGGACACCTTGTTCTTGCTTGACACGTTTGAGCTCCAACAATTATGGTTTCTTACTAACGCTCTGAAAAGTTTCTCTCAGAGCTAGTCACTAGTGAATACATAAATAACTGAAATAATGACGACAGAATGAGGTCTCAGTAAACATTTCCTTGATAAAGTATTAGATCTATAATATCAGAACTAAGCTTAAAAATACTTCTATCAAAGTTGAATTCACAAATGGAATAACAAACAAGCTTCCAACTGGAGAGGAAATATAGAAAAAGACGCTGAGGGTAGATAGAACACACATAATAGAAATCATCCGATTTCATCATGAGGCAAGCCCTAATCTGAAATCCTAAGGGTAAAAGAAAAAGAGGCAGACCATAGTATACATGAGATTGGAAGTTGGAAGCAGACAACTGGAAAGAAAAGCCCCGGATCGATGACTCTTGCTCCGCGTCCTATACTCTACAATGCGGTAACAGGCATAAGTAAACAGTAAGGAATTTTTGTATCCATTCGGCCGGATATCTGTATTTTTCCTTATTTCAATATCTCAGGATTACTTATTATTATTATTATTATCAGTCAAGTGTATATCATAGTTTAATTAAATACTCACATATAAAGTATGATGAATATTTTCAAACAATCTGTTAGCACCATCCAATAGCTTTCCTGCCTAGTGATAAAAATCCAAAATTCATATCAAAGTATCAAGTAAATCATAATTTCATTGGTTCAGATCATAATTCGACTGAAGTTAGACCATCATGGAAAACCTGGAAACACTAGACGGCCGAGGCTGATGCCCTTTATGACAACCAGAGCAACCATTAATTTACGCACATGGAATGCTCGTACAACCTGGAGGTTCTTGCAATCAGTGAAACACATGCGACGCAGGTTGGACAACAAAGACTAACTTCAGGGGAACTGCTTTTATATTCCGGTCATGAAGAAGAAAATGATCAACATAAACAAGGTTTTTGGCTTATTACCATTCATCACCATGATGTATCATCATCAATCATAAATAGCTCAGTGTTTTCTGTGGACTCTGAATAAGCTTTACTATGCTTCACATTCTAAGACAATCGAGCTATTTGAGCTGAGACTTACCTTATAAATAGTATGAAACCTAGTTCCAGTGAATCTTGTCTATTACACCTAATCACCTAATATCATAACTTACTATACACAAAGTAGAGTCCATCAAACTCATAGACCCAAATTACAAATTAATTGACATAATTCACTCATCACTCAAAACATTAAACAAGCATAACAATCACCAGAGCTATTCAATGATCAATCAATTGGAAAATTGATTGATACCAACTATTTTATAAAAACAAATAAACATGGTACTTACTTCTAACAGATGAATAGCTTCTTCTTTAATCTTGATGATACCACGTAATTCTGAGATTTCAGCGTTTGATTTTTTCGCTTGTCTAAAATATACAAATAAAAAAAACAACGATATGATGTAAGATTTCTTAGAATTAATTTCAATGATCCTTATCCCTCTCTCTCTCTCTGACTCTATCCTACTCTCTGTGGTTGGATTAGTTTAGTTATATTGCCTGAATGATCAGTGACAATCTAGTTACCGATTGACATATCAACAAATGAATAAAAAATAAGACCTTAATACTTGTCAACCATCGAACTCCATCTAACCCAATGGTAAACCAAAAGATGAAGATGGAAGGTCACAATTGATTAATCATTGGGTGGTGATCAATGTCATGTGTGTCAAGTCCTTCTTAGTGCAAATCGAATGCTGTTAACCAAGTTGGAATGTGGCGTGCACTATGTTGGGATTAGATGGTGGCTGAAGGTAGTCAACAGGAAACTCTGACTGTGAAGCTTGGTGACACGGGATCGAATCCGTCAGGGAGCACCAGTTCCCTCAAGATTACAGGTAAACCTTGCTGACGAGTACCAAGTGCCACAAAACCCGGTTCTAGGATTTTCCGTTGACTACCTCCAACCACCATCTAAGATGGAAGGTAGATAAATTCTCTGTGGCATTCAATTCATTCATAAATCAAAACCCATACAATGTCTAGCCTCAGAACAACATAGTTAAGAGATTACAGTGTGCACATAACTGTTTGGAAGTCATAAGCAAAGATGGATAGCGCCTAGCAGTAGAATCCAAGACGCGCGTTTCGTCCTATTTGGGACTCGTCAGCTGGATGTACCTGAATTTCAGAGTTGATGTTCACTCTGGGACTCGGACCCAATATCGTTCTCGATGGTGTTTCAAGCGAAAGGCACTGAATTTGAGTCCAGATAGTCACTAGATTTTGCAATGGGATGAAGTTTCAATTCACTTAAAAAGAAACTAATAAGAGGATGAAGATTCCTTACAAAAACTTTGTAATTTGAGAGAAAACAATACTTACCTATCCAATAGATAACCAAATTCAGTTTGCTGTTAGAAACAATGAAAGATAAGAAATGAGAAATAAATTAAGGAAAGGAAGATTTGAATACAGCTTAAACGTGACTAATTTACTTTATTTTATTATTTATATTACACAACTAACTGGGTCATATCTTAAATAACATTTAAAACACATTCATAGTGAAATCATGAACTGATCTACACTAGACTACCAAGATGGACTGAATAACAGTTTCGTGCTAGCATAGTACTCCTCAGTAGTGAGGACCCATAACACCACCACCACTACCACCGCAGAGAATCGAACCCACGATCTCTAATATCGCACATATATGCCGGGGGAGATTCAATTGTGAATATGTCTGACTTCAGTCAATTCTCTATATTGTGTGACCGTCTTCGGTTACCTTCATTGAATAACATTTATACTTCAATGGTTACGGCCTTTCACTAGAGCTTCTGGGATTACACCTTGAGATTAATCACTTTAGAGCAGATTATTATTACTAGTATATTGGGGTTTGTAGAGATTATAGAAGTTTCATAGTTTAACGAAAGATTAATTTAAGCCATAAGGTCAAATGTCAATCGACTAAGATAATGAACTTGAAGACAAGAATTGATGAAGAAAATGAATTTCATTGAATTCATGAATCGATCAAAGACAATTAAATCTACGAAGACAATCCTCCATAAATAAGGCCAACAGAATGAACAATTTAGGACTCATGGAATAAAGAAGAATCTCAACTTATACATGAAACTAATGTTGATACTACTGTTCAAAATGACAATCACAACTATGAAATCAAATCATCCATCTCATGGAAAAGGATATCATCTTAACCATTTGAGTGAGCTGATAATTGTTTCCATCACTTCATTTGATAAGTATTTCTGAAATCAAAAGATCTAATGTTGGATAACTGTATGTGACTGGCTACTAGATGCCTATTTGGCATAACGTCAAATGATTGTGCAGTATTTGTAGTGATTTAAACAGTGTAACTTGTATTAAAGGAAGAAAAAACAACTTAAGGAATACTGATAAGTCTTCTACATGAATGAATGATACTGACTTCGTAGTTTATCATTGATATTCAGACAACTCCTATAATTGAATGTGAACCGTAGAGAAAACGTACAAGATGAAAAGCAGAAAAATTAAGGTTCATTTACGTACAGAAAACTAGCTGAGTTATACGTTGTTAGGTGATCTTTGCAATTTCCAAACATCTGAAGACATGTTTAATTAGGTGACAGAGTATGCTACCAGAAAATCGGATTTTGATACATTGATTACTAACTACGCCTGTCAACCTTCATGAAGGGGCATAGGCCGCCCATTAGTATTCTCCATCCAATTCTATCCTGGACAGATAATCCATTAAATTTCTAGTATTTGTGGTATGTACTGATTAGATGAAAATTTCTCAGCTTCTTCCGGGCTTCCGATAATCACTGAGTAATCGTGAGTAATAGCTCTTCTCTATTGAACCAGAAGATTATCTTGTGTCAGTAGTCTAAGAGTTAACTCCTCATCGTGATCCCTGAAAACCGTAGATTTTCTCCACAATAAGATCATGAAAACATGCTACTGAGAAGTCTCACACGATAACCAAACTGCTGCTCAGTACTTCCAGGCTTTTAATAATTATTTAACAAAGATCATCTCGTCATGTATATTATGAAATCTAATAGCCTACTTAAAAACCTCTATTGGAATGAGATTTAAATCTCAATTACTTACCGTACTTTTTGCCGCTGTTTGACGTAATGCTGAAGCAGTACGTACAGGATTAGAACCATCTGATTCAATCTATATGCAAAATGAAGAAGATAAAAAACACAAGTAATGCAAATAACTTACAAAGAATAAAATAACAATTAAACAGATGATTTATTCATAATGAATTGGCATCAGCAGCTCGATTTTATGACTTTTCAGCTTTTCGCTCCCTCAACCCCTTTAGTGACAGAATCAAAGAAGTTCACGCCTTTCAATGTGTATATTTTTTTCTAACACATATAACCATTGAATTCATTTGGCGTTGTTTTACTTGTATCTACCCATTGTTATTTAGGACTGTAATTGATCAGTCTCTTACTGACATCTGTACATCCTGTGCGGATTGCCTCAATACTACCTTAAGTCACAAGTATTATAAGCAAAGAGGGATAGTGACTAGCAGTGGAATCCAGGACGTAAGTTTTATCTCATTTGTGACTTGACAGCTGGATGTACCTGCATCTCAGAGTTGATGTTCACTCTAGGACTCGAACCCAGTAACTTTGGATTAGACAATTCATAAAAATAATATATCATAATTGATTATCCTATTATAGTCACTCTGTAACTTAATAATGTATTCATTTATCACAGTTGATGAATACTAATAATCTTGGCAAACGATGTGAATCACGAACAGTCAACAGGACGATAAGACACTGACTTCAATAATAAATAAGTCATCTAACTATTTAAGAAACTGATGCAATTCAATTTCGACAGGTTCAGAGAATCTATTCTAAAGACAGAATACCTCTAGGACTTGAGAATGAAAAGGTTCTTAGTTGGTACAATAACAATAACAACAACAACAACAACAACAACAACAACAACTACTACTACTACTACTACTCACAAAATATGGTGTATTACCGATCTCAAATATTGTCCTTTTAACCTCTGAGATAAAGTTGATATCAGGTTGACAAAACGAATAATACTAGTCCAGTTACTTTTTCAAGTCCCAAGAGAACAAATACTTGACCATAGCTTGAGAATCCTTGAATTATCATAAGCTTGATTACTTTCGAATTCACTACCACTACTACTACTACTACTACTACTTCATATAGCTCTGACCATCCTCATTCATTCATTCATTCATAAACACAGTTTAGTACTTGTCTTACAATCACCTTCCTGAAATTAATTTTTATCAAATAATCCATACACTTACAAGTTTAGACAACATATTCAATTGTGATCTAAGCTGTTGTACTTCATTCATTGAATCAACTATTTGTGGTAATTCATTTGTTGAACGTCCACTCTTCATTGTATTTACATTTCTATCAGGATAATTACTCGACTGTATTGATTGTGATGAATTTGTTTGATTATAATAACCTCTGGAACCAGAATTCAAGTTTGGTAAAGCTGATCTAATATTGATTGGTGCTGTTGATATTGATGTTTCTCTGTGAATATTTTTCGAAGAAAAAAAAACAGAGAAAAAAAGGTTACAGTTTATATCATTGACTAATCTTAATTAGACTATTTTCATTAAGCAGGAGGCAATGCATAATTGCTACTCTTGATTAATGCATAACCATGGAACAACTAGGGGTCGAACCGAGGATATTCAGGTCTGATGGCACCACTAAATTAACACCCACTGATCTAAATTTATAGATTTAATCAATTCGTGATATTGAGCAGCCATTTTCACAACTTATTCCCAGATAAGTGTGTCACTCATGTTTATCGTGTTATCCATTTATGACAGTATCTTTTTGTTAAGAGTTTGTAAGTCCCCTTTCAAGTTTCATTGAGTTATAATTGGTTAAACTAGGAATTGTTAGCAATAGAATAATTGTAGAGATTGTGAATAGTTGGTCATCGAAATACATCATAAATTCATGGAATTCAGAATTCTATCAATTAGATGTTGACTGAATAGTTTTAATGGTGAAATGTTCATCATGGAACCTGACGGTTTTGAATTCCAGTCATTGAATACACACGAACTGAGAGAAGTTCTTTACTTGGAAAAAAACAGTTTTCCATTTCTGTTTATCTTTTAATTCATCTCCAACTAAAAATCAATATTATACAAATGTAATTTACAAATAAGAACTGTGGAAAAAAAAACAATTACCATTTAGGTAGTTGAAATTCTATCGGTGACTAATGCTTCATTGTAAATATATTCAACTATAGTCATTCTGATTATTTTGTTCGTGTGTTTATACAAATGTCGAATTTTTAAGAGTATGTCTGATTTCTTAAAGTGTTTCACTTGTTCACTATCATATTTCAGTAATAATGTATTCCCACTCAGTCACTTACTCACTTACTCTCCCTCTCCCCCTGTTTACATCATGATTAAAAGCAAAAATGTTTTATTTTGAATAATTTCCAATTGGATACTATTTTTTCACATTCAAGTCACCGACTGTGACTGTCAATTAGTTTTTTTAGATAAAGTAACAAATGTTTTCAATCTTTTAACTCTCTTTGTTTTTATCATTGAACATCATATATTATTGATAGGGGGTAATTCTGTACATTTTTATAGTGTTTGTTTGAATGTTCCTATTGATGTTTAAGACTGAAATTGTTTAATCACTTGTTAATATATATATATGCATCCTGTATGGATTACTTCAATATTGCCTTAAGTTATATAAACATTATTAAAACCAATACAAAAATGAATTGAACTTGATCCCACCATTGCACAAGTCAATGGTTAATCTGATCTCAGTAGCTGAAATGAATAATGTGATGATACATGAAGTGAAGGGTACCAGGTTCGAGTCCAAGAGTGAATATTAACTCTGAAATACAAGTAGATTCAGCTGATGAGTCTTAAATAGGATGAAACGTGTATCTTGTATTCCACTACTAGCCAACATCATATTTGCTTATAATTATATTTGTTTCTTTATGGATTGATGAATAATATATACGATCGATCTCCTGAGTTATACTTGCCTAATTCTCATAAAAAATTTGAAGACATATATATATATATATATATATATATATATATATATATATATATATATATATATATATCAATAGTTGAAATCATGAGTCAATTGAAGATAGACCATCATGGAAAACCTGGAAGCATTAGATGGCCGTTTCGTCCTAGTGTGGTACTCCTCAGAAGTGCGTATCCACGATCCCGCTCAATGGATTTGAACACAAGACCCTCAGTCTCACGCGCGAGCGCTTAAACATTAGGCCACTGAGCTTCCCGGCACCCAAAGGTGTTAATGCTTAACTTCAACCAATCCACGAAATTGCGCCACCGTATACAATAGTCTGATAGGTCCTGGGCTCGATTGTGAATGCTCACTGCTGAGAAGTCTCATACTAGGACGAAACGATCATTGCCAACACCTATTTGAATTAACCGTTTAGTTGATGTATTCTAGTTCTATTCATTCGCAATTATCCATAAACTATCTATTCTAAAATACCCGTATCAAAATGTCTATAAAAAGGGAATTGACAGAGGGTGGATATATGCCAACAAAAACTAATCAAAACCTAATCTTTGATACTAACAATGGGATAATTTGAACCCTTACTAATATTGATATAAATATCATATCTATTGAAAAATATGATAAAGGTTTGGATACAACAACTCAATGGATAACGTGTAAGGATTTTAAAGCGAAAGATTTCTAGATTCAATTTCCAATGTGAATATCAACATAGATGTAGATACATCTAACTGACGAACAAGAAATAAAACTGAATGAACATTCTTGACTGTATTGTGGCGAAAGATTCATTTAATCTAAGAAAAATAATTAACATTATTTAATTTGTATATTTCTATCTGTTTGATATCGATATGATGGACACTGAGAGTTCACCTAGTGGAGTTGGAAAACCTTGATTGCATACCAATGGTATACATGATCTCCAGGATCCTGAATGAACAAATGGCGGATGAGCCTATTGTTGGGATTATATCTCCTGATGTTGCTCCATTATCTATCTTGTGAATCAGGCCTTTAGGTCAAAAGCTCTGGAAGTGGCCCTCTAAGGAAACCACCCCTACTACGGTATGGGCACTCGAGCAGTATCTCATCCCTCACATAAACCGAATGATTTATGTGGCGTATATCTATTTAGTGCCTCGTTGTACCAATGTTTATGTGTTTAAATAATAATGATATTAATAATAAGTAATTCAACAATAGAACATGAATAATTCCATATTGACACTGGATTAAATATAAACCCTTGGCTTTTAACACCATTTATATGATTAATCATCCAATGATTGAAAATGTTCACATAAACTATGTGTCTAGGCATAAACACTGATCAAGTTCCGTTGATCTAATTATAGACAATACTATTATTATTGATTTATTTACCAAGTGTAAGTTTGTGTCATCGCCTTCAAGCTAGACATTAAATATGCAGTCATAGAAATATTGCACGCATATGCTGGGATCATTGGGTGAGAAATAGGGAGGCTAGATGCATAGTAATAGGGAATGATGGTAATTTTGCAAACTATATCAATCATTCCGCTCAGTTTAATATTCATCTCACATTGGCATTATATTCTTTGTTACGAGATAATCTGTAGTGTGTCTAACAAACACCTTTCAATTTTACAGTCAAGTTGTAAATTGTAGTGTCGACTACTACTATGTCAGCACCACATAGGTTATTCCCGTTTCCGGATAAGCCAGTTTATTCATCATTCCTCTTGAGTCATATTTTGACCTTGTCAATTATTCGCTTATCAACTTTCACTGTATTCATGTAAGCGTATGTGTATACACTTTTCATTCTATTCATCACATGTCAGCAACTTGATTTTGAACTGACTATCAATATCGATTGACGCCTGACGAAATGGAGTTGACTCACACATCATCTTCACTGCACGTCATTTCGCTTCGCTCTCTTCTCTTCGTTCTCTTTCTCTTCGATTTCTTCGCTTCGTCCCTCTGAGTGTTCCTCCAGATCATTGAGTGTACAAAGTATACGTATTCAAATATTGACTGTCACATTTGATTTGTTTTAATTCCGTTATTCACTAACGTGAGTTAAGTCAATGATTATATAGGAGAATTAGTGACGTGTATAATTCAATAGCGATCAGATCCGGTCTAATTGGAGTGAGATTAATAGCCATTAAAAATTAAATATTGCTCGCATCTGTTGGTATCGCCTGGTAAGTAATAGTGATGTTAAACTCAGAGTATTAGTGATTGATCGTAAATCACTTGACGAGGTTGTGGGTATTCATCGAATGAGATGGTTGGGTCACGTGTTACTTACGCCTGAGCACTGATCACCACGTCGCGAAATACTGATTAGTGTTGGAGATGGTTGGAAGAAAGTTAGAAGCGAAAAACCAAAACGTGACGTTAGTTATTGAAGTCACTAACCTCTAGTCTAAGTCATGTTGGTAGATGCAGACTACATGGTTGGGATCAGTGTGACTATCGTAACCAATTATTGGAGACTCTTGGTGACATGGCTCAGAATCGATCAATCACAATGGCGTAGGTGTATACATTCTTTATCTCAACTTCAACTTTAAGATTAAAATTGATTTACATCTTTCATCTTGTTGTGTTGTTAATGAGGTATGGCAACTTGGACCGATGCATATAAGTTCCTAGTTCTACGTTGTAGCTAATTGACTGATTGAAAAATGCAGTCTAGTGATATTAAACAGGTTACCTTAAATCAAATTAGGTATTGAAAAGGTTCAGTATAATAACTTCTTAAGTAACTTAATATTCGATGTTGGATAGTTGAAGGGTGTCAAAAGAAAGTATTGCTTAATTTAATATTCATACTAACTGGTTACTGTTTTCAAATAGTCTTTGTAACTGTAAGAGAACCAATACCTCATCTATGTATTTAGTACCGAGCATATTGCTTAACATAATGATCAGAGATGTTATCACTGAACTAATTAATTTGCTTATGAATTCATTCCAAATAATTATCACTCCCGTACAGGGTTGTGGAGATTATTAGGTTTTTAATTGCGATCATGAACCGATTGATGTTAGACCACCATTAAAATCCTGGAAGCACTGGACGGCTGTTTCACCCTATCGTGGGACTCCTCAGCAGTGCACATCCACGAACCCCCTCACGGGATTCGAACACTATAATGATGATTACCATGTACTCACTAGTGAATAGTTTCATGAGGGAATTCTCGGACTTCTAATGAGAAGCCGTGACCAGTGGAGCTAATCCGTGTCGATTAGAAACAGGTATCTACCTCAGTATAATGGAAGATGGTCGCGCGATTTCGTGAATCGGTTGAGGTTGGACATTAACACCATTGGATGCCGGCCAGCTCAGTGGTTTAGAGTTTAAGCGTTCACGCGCGAGACTGAAGTTCCTGTGTTCTAATCTCTTGAGCGGGATGGTGGATGCGCACTGCTGAGGGGTCTCACAGTAGGGTGAAACGTTTATCCAGTGCTTTCAGGTTTTTCATGGTGGTCTAGCTTCAACTGACTCATGATCTTAACCACTGATATTACTACGATCTCCACAAAACCCCTTGTGAAATTGTATTAACTTAAATTGGCAGAATTTATCCTAACAATAGCGAGAAAGTGGAAGCAAATAGAATGTACTATGAAGAAATATTAAAACAATATTGTTGATAGTTAGGAAAAAAACCAAACATAAAGAACATTTGAGTAAATATTCTGTAATTGACATTTCTAACATCAGTCATTTCAAGATATTACATGGAAACTACCCAAGACCATTTGTAATATTTGCTTCATAAGCAATATGGTTAAACTCTAATGAACTGGTATTATCGGTTACGAATTAAAGTTAGAAATGTAAAATATTAAAGGTCAACTTAGTGGTCTAATAGTTAAACTGTTCTTCTAAGCTTTAACAATCTTGGATACTGTTAGACAGTACTATACTTGGACGAAATGAATATCTAATATTTTTCAATTTTTAATATTTTTATATCGAATAGTAATGCATCAAGTAAATTTCAAAGTCAACTATCTTCATAATACCCTTTCTTAATATGGTAAGTTAGTCAGAAGTAGCCAAATGTAAAGGTCAATCGATAGGAATTAGAGATGACCTAAAAGACAAGCGTATATTATGATTGATTAACAATGAATTGTTATTCTAAAGAGTGAAGTATTAATGAGGTAGTACATCATGTATCACTATGAGATTTCAGACAAAACCCATCATAACAAAAGAGGGTAGTATCACTGAATAAAATTGAATAGTATGGATAATGAAATGATAATTTAGAAAAAGAAAAAAAATAACACAAAGAAATAAATCCAATTGACATGAATCAACTTGGATTAAAAAGTAACTTCTTTAGTTCAGATTGAATTGATTTTGTGAATAACAGAGAGCTAGATAATTGTTCTTTTTTAAGTAAACACATCTCAGTTACGTATCAGTCAGTCAGATACAATATAGAATCAGGCACATATATGCATCCGTCTAAGTTACCACAATAAGATGAACACTGGATTCATAGAAACAGTTCACTCAATGGTGTTAATATATATAAAAAAAAGATTTTATATAAGGATATAGTACAGAACGAAAGAATTAGGTACGTATACTCATGAACTCAGCATCCGAAACTGACCCGTACAAAACGTTTACGTTTCTTGTTGAAACATCAATTTATATCGAAATTCAACGTTAAATTAACCATCTTATCGTTACATCCTCCTATCTAACTTGATCCCATACATAGAATAATTATTTTTTATTTATTTAAATGCATAAATATTGGTATGAGGATGTACCGAATAGATATGTGCCACATTCGATTCTTGTGAAGGCTGTGATACTGCCCGGTCGACCAAACCAAAGCACGTGGTTTTCTGACTAGGGCGCACTCCAAGCTTTTGGACCTACAGGTCTAATCCACAAGACAATGGAGTAAGGTTATTGAGGTGCAGTCTCATGGTACCTAGTGACCAACATTTTGTTCATATGTCATTCGTTCTATCAGGATCCTATTATTAATATTATTTTAACACATAGATATTGGTACAAGGAGGCACCAAATACGTATGCGCCACACATCTCATCTGATATGTGTGAGGGCTGTGATACTGCCCAGGTGCCCAAACCGAACCAGGTGGTTTTCTTATGGGACCACACCCCGAGCCTTCGACTTGAACGTCTGATCCACAAGGGGCATCGTAAGGAGATGCAGTCCCATGGTAGCCAGTGACCAACGATTGGTTCATACGCTATTTGTTCCTTCAGGATACTGGAACCAGCCCATGTACACCATTGGTTTGGAATCCGGTTAAAGCACCGGATATTCGCTTTTCGTCCTCTCATTTTCGTAAACAATACCCCCACCACGAGAAGGTAGTGAGTAGGACTTTCCTGGCAGAGGCTATATATACGTGGACATTTGAGAGCATTTCGAGAGGGGGAGCGGACTCTCCCCACTCTCGGTCATACCATGGCATTTGGAGGAACCAAGGTTTCCCAAATTCCCCAGATGAATCCTCCATATCCACCAATGCAGTTAAAGCATTGGATATTCATTATCGTAAATAATACCTCCACCATCATTAGACAATAAGTAGGACTTTCTTGATAGTACATGTATACACATAGAGCCATGTAAGTGCATTTCCGAAAGTGTAAGCTGAGTCTCCTCACTTTCAACCATATATCAAGGTATTTAATTGCCATATAAGAATAATAGAGAACATAAACACAAAATACTTACATTGGATCATTTGTATCTAATATCATATAATTTGATTTAAATAAATGGCGTGTACAATAGAAATAAAATTTTTTTATTTTTAATAAATATACATTTTTTTTATATTTTTTATTCTTCATTACATGTAATGGATTAATACTATTATTATGTAATTGATAATTACAAATATTATCATAGAGATTAGGATAATATTGTTGCCATGGTAATTCTCCTTTCTTATTTAATAATTCATATTGATCATTAATAGTAGTTTGATCTAATTCTATTCGATCAATATCAAGATCATTAATTTTTTTATATTTTACGATATCATTATTATATTGATTTATAGATTTCTTCCTATTATTGACTTTACTATTCATCAATGTATTAGGATGATATTTTGATGTTATATCAATAGTATTATATTCATTAAATGTAATCAATCGATTATTTGAATTACCCATTATCAATTTCTGTTTTGTTTTTAACTATAATTTATCCTATTGATCATGATCATTATTCTATGTTTGTATATTTGATCATTAATGGTAATTATAGTATTTATGTATAGATGAATGTAAAAAAAATTGGGGAATGCTAATGATGTTAATAATGATGATGTTTTCAATGATAATTAAACATTAGAATCAATGACCAATCATATTTCATGAAATAATATTGAAAATCAATAAATCGAAAATAATATTAACCAATCATAATAAAATTCTAGCATTGAACAACACAATGATTAATATCCCTTTTTTTCATTTAAACTTGAATAAAATGATGAGACTATCATTTATAGACGAAACTCTCTGAGATATATTAAAATCATTTTAAGAATATCTACTTCCTTAAAATAGAGTTAAATTAAATTTATATCATAATTGAAAGAATCAACACAATAATTTATAGTTGAGATAGTTAAGAGTTAGAAATTAGATTTGTAGGGTTACACCATTATGAACTAATATCAGTTCTAATGTCATGTTGCTATATGAATGAATAAGTGAGTGAATTTCATACTGAAATCTAAGATTTGTTATCCTAAATTTGATTGATTCGTTGTTTAGTTGATGAAATTGTTATGGATATTGGTTAAATGTGTAGATTATTTATTAGTCACAGCATCATGTGATGAAATTTTCTTCAAGAGGTATATCCTGGAGTTCTCGTGAGAAGTAGTGACCAGCGGAGTTCAACCAGGTCTGTTGTAGGATAGAAACTCACTGAAGACAATGGTGGATGTGTCGCTCAATTTTGTGGATTAGTTGAAGTTAGACATGAACACCGTTGAATGCCGGCCAGCTCAGTGGTCTAGTGGTTAAGTGCGCGCGCGCGAAACCAGTAGGTCCTGGGTTCTAATCTCACAGGGGGCGAGGTCGTGGATGCGCACTGCCGAGGAGTCCGACAATAGGACGGAACGGCCGTCCAGTGCTTCCAGGTTTACCATGATGATCTAGCTTCAATTGACTCATGATCTTAATGATTGAAATTACTACTATCTCCACAAAACCCCTTCTGATAATTATATGTAAATATACTTATACACATGGTAATCATTTTATATTCTGGTTAATTCTCAGTATACAGGTTGTAGAGATTATTGTTTTCAAATGAGATCATGAATCAATTGATGTTAGACTACCATTTAAAACTGGAAAGTACTAGATGGCCGTTTTGTCCTATTGTGGAACACCTTAGTGACAGTGCACATCCACCATCCCGCTGAATGGATTCAAACCGAGAGCCTTCAGTCTCAAGCGCGAATACTTAACCTCTAAATCACTGAGCTGGCCGGCATCCAACTGTGTTAATGTTTAACTTCAACTAATTCACGAAATTGCGTAACCATCTATTATACTGAGGTAGATACCTGTCTCGGATTAGCTTTACTGGTCACGGCGTTAACGTTTTCTTAGCAAGATTGTTTTCTACGGGATGGGGTTGCTGAATTTATGCCCAACTCTCCTACTTTATCCGGTCTTGGAAGTGACAGTAACTCTAGATGTGTTACAGGCTGTCTTTCTACAGTTGAAGAATATATGAAACTCAAAACAACTGTCAATCAATATCAAAGTCAGAATCTTCAATACGAACATCAATATTGTCCTGCTGTATGGGGTCGAAACTTAGAGAACTACCAAAGCTATCATGAAAAATGTACATGTATTTCTAAACACTTATCTACATAAGATACGCAATGTCCGTAGACCGGATACCATCAGCAACAACCTACTATAAAAGAGAACAAACCAGGTTCCAGCTAAAGAGAAAATTAGGAAAAGACGTTGAAAGTAGATAGGATATACATCACGGAAATCATCAATCTACATTACGAGGCAAGCACTAACTAGGAATCCTGAAGGGAAACGGAAAAATGAGTTACTAAAGAACATACTGAGACGAGAATCGGAAGCAGACATCAAAAGGATGAGTAGCAGTTGAAAACAACTGCAAATGATTGCACAAGATGGAGCTGCATGCAGAATTCTGGTATTGGGCTTACGCTCCTCCACGAAGAGTATCAGGCTTACATAAGTAAGTAATTATGATCATATTTCCAACAAAGACTAATTTGAAGAAGCTGTTCTCAGAGTTCTAGTAGGAAGTTGTGACTTGTAGATTTCAACCATGTTGGAAGCGAGACAGTTAAGTTAGGATGATATTGAACGATGGGTGCTCAATATCATGAATTGATTAAAGTTCGAGATCTATACTGTTGGATATTATCCTAGTGGTTTAAAGTTTACACAATCACCATAAAACATGACGGTCCTCAGTTTCAACCTTAATATTTTAATAGGTTCACGATGCTAAAACGTTCCATTTCACACGAAAAGGACAATCGAATGCATCCTAGTTTCATGTGATATCTTAACTGTGAAGCGCACAACTATGAAGAATACAACCTACGGTTTTAAAAGTGGACGAATCTCGCAAGGCGGGATCGTGGATGCACACCGTTGAGGAGTCCCACAGCAGGACGAAACAGCCGTCCAGTGCTTCCAGGTTTACCATGATGGTCTAGCTCCAACTGACTCATGAATTCAACCATTAAATATCATCAAGATATTTAACTTATGAGCTTAAGTCATAGGTGTGAACATCGACAGGAAATATTGATTCACCTAGATTTCGTGCTAACTGGCATTCATCAGTTAAGAGCACCTGAAATCTTAAGGGAAATAATACTGTTTATAATATTCAAAACTACGTTAATCAGTTGTATATTGAGAGTTTTTATCACTGAGTCATTTGAACAGCGACTGACTTTCTGTAGAGTCAGTCAGTAAGCGTTGACAAATCAATTTAAATGAAGATATAATGTTCAGTGGTTACTACATGATTCAATGATCAACCAGTTATATATTTACCCGGTTCTGGTATTCAAATTATCAATAATTTTGATGGGGTTTTGTTCTTTAAGCTGGATGGTTTGGTCATGAAGCTTTCATCGTTCTTCTGAATGACATCATCAGTATAAACTTCAGGTAGAAGTCAAGTGTTCGAATTTCTCCATATGTGGTTCACAGCTTGTCCTGTACACCTCGATGTTGATTGGTTCTTGTTGATTTTAAACCTATTATTGTTTACTTCTTTGTTTTGGTTGTATCTCTCAATGGGAGATATCAGACAACAAAACTTCATCAATATCATCCATCTGAGCTACATATCTTTTCCACCAACTCAATTATCAATAATAAATACATATAACAGTGCAAATCTACTAAACATTATTTTATATGGAATCGTCAAGGCTAAACAGAGTAACCTTTCTGTGCATATAGTGATATGACAAGAAACTAATTATAATTTAAAATGTAAAAAAATCACATCCATATATTCGTCATTAAGGAGGAACTTAAACACAAAAAAATACTTGAACTAGACGATACATAGATTTATAAGCAAAGATAAATGGTAGCTACTAGTGGAATCTAGGACACGCTTTCTGTTCTACTTAGGACTCGTCAGCTGGATGTATCTGCATCTCAGAGTTGGTGTTCACACATCAATGGAATGATTCAAGTAAAACAGCACCAAGTGAATTTAAACTTGACTCCATCGCACAAGCATGTGGCTATCAGGACTCAGTAGCTAAGTGGATAACGTGATGGTATTTGAAGTGAACGGTACTAGGCTCGAGTCAAAGAATGAACATCAACAATGAGATGCTGGTACATCCAGCTGATAAGTCAAAAATAGGACTAAACATGCATCCTAGATTCCACTGCTAGTAACTATCCATCTTTGCTTATAAAGCTTATGACTTCAGATAATATCGAGGCAATTTGTACAACATGTACATACTCCAATAAGAGACTAGTTAACTGCAGTCCTAAACAACAATGAGAAGATTCAAGTAAAAGAACAACAATTGGATTTCATTTATAGATTTTCCTAGGTTTGTTCCACTACATGCTAAAACAAACCTTGTTTTAGTCACTTCAATATAAAATATAAACTATATGCTACCCAGATACAAGTGTAGAAGAAACATTTATATATTACGTAATACCTCTAAAAGAAATGAATACTCTGATAAATTTATAAATAAATTTTTGATCAAGTAAATAGAGCAGAAAAAAAAAACGAAGTTTTAACTGCCAAACAAAATGTCTCTTATAAGCAAAGATGAATAGTGGCTAGCAGTGAAATGCAGAACGGGTGTTTCGTCCTATTTGGGACTCGTCAGCTGGAAGTACCTGCATCTCAGAGTTGATGTTCACTCTGGAACTCAAATTAAGGCAATATCAAGGCATACGCACTGTATGCACATATGCTAATAACAGACTGATCAATTCTAGTCTTAAATCTTAATGGGAAGACACAAGCAAAACAATACCAAGTGAAAAAAAGTCTCTATTTTCCCCTACCAAGATTCGAATCTGGATTAAAGCGGTCACAACGCAATATCCTAACCACTAGACCACATACAATTTAGATGTGATGCATGCAGAGAAATATTGCCATCGAAAGTATACAGATGATATGATGACTTAAATCGATAAATATATATACAGCTTTACTGTTTTACATTTTCATACTCTAGAAAATTTCATTAACATCCACCTATGTCTATTATTTCTTATCTAATTCATATTATGCTAAATATTGCGCAATTGTTTTTCTTTTATTCCAAGTTCTGATCATTAATTGCATAATTTTGTATAACGTATAGACTATTTGCATGTTGTTAACATTCGATATTCATCTTTTCATATAGTAATACTTCACGTTGAAAGAATAGTACGATCAAAGTTGAACAACTGTTGAAAACCTGGAAGCATTGGGTAGCTGTTTTGTTCAAGTATGAAGCTTCCCAACGGTGGATATTTACGATCCTGCAACAATGAATCAGATTCAGGCCACTCGAGTATAGTTTCTGCCTGTGGTGTCGTAGATATACACTGTTGAAGAGTTCTATGCTAGAATGAAACAGCTTTTCATTACTTCTAGGTTATCAATCGTTGAATATTTTCTGCTATATAATATCTATTAATATACACAAAAGGAAAAGCAAGATTCTCTGGTACAACACAGTATGCACCAATCCAATCACAACTGACGGAGAAGATTTGGAAGATGTACAAACCTTTACATATTTGGGCAGCAGCATTGATGAACATGATGAATCTGATGCAGATGTGAAGGCGCGGATTGGCAAAGCAAGAGTAGCATATTTATAACTGAAGAATATCTGGAACTCAAAATAACTGTCTGTTAACCAACACCAAGTTCAGGATTTTCAATACAAATGTCAAGACAGTTCTATTATATGGGGCGGAAACCTGGAAAACTACAGGTGTTTGTTAACAGTTGTCAACGCAAAATACTTCGGATCCGTTGGCCAGACACTATCAGCAATAACCCACTATGGGAGAGAACAAATCAGATCCCAGTGGAGGAAGAAATCAGGAAGAAGCGCTGGAAGTGGATAGGACACACATTGAAGAAAGCACCGAAATGCATCACGAGACAAGCCCTCACTTGGAATCCTCAAGCTTGAAGGAGAAGAGGAAGACCAAAGAACACATTACGTCGAGAAATGGAGACAGATATGAGAATAATGAACAAGAAATGGATGGAACTAGAAAAGAAGGCCCATAACAGAGTGGGTTTGTTGGAGAATGCTGGTCGGTGGCCAATGCTCCATTGGGTGTAACAGGCGTAAGTAAGTAAGTAAGTAATATAATATCTATTGTTTATATAGAAAATAAATTTTCATTTTATCTCTTACCTTCTACCATGTATAGATCTAGGTGATAATGGATCTGAACGTACTCTATACACTGTACTTTTTGATCGTGGACTTGTTGAATTAGTTAATTCTGATGGAGTTGGTGTTGGTGCTAATGATTGATGATATGATGAATATGGTTGTTGATTATTAGGATTATCTGTAAAATGATCTATAGAATTTGACCATGGTAAATCAATTATTGGATAATCTATACCATTTGTAGAATGATGTAATAGATTTTTTTGTGATAGATGATTATTATTTATTGATAATATTCCATTTTCATGATTACCATTTAATTGTGGTGCAGTTTCTGATCGATTTATTGGTGTTCTTCTAGTTGAACTACTTATAGTACTCCATGCTGATGTACGCTGTTAAAATGAGATAAATAAATATTTAAAAAAAGTAAATTTGATTTTCTTTAAACTATGATTAACTGCCATTCATATTCAGCTGTAAGTGTTTATGACTCGTCATGTTCAAATGACATCTCTTCTCAGACAAAACAAACACCTTCTGATATTAATTAACATATGTTTACTAGTGACTAGCTTCATCAGGTATTTCCTGAAGTTCTAGTGAGAAGCAGTGACTAGTGGAGTTCAACCGTGTCTGTTGTGAGATAGTAACTCACTAAAGACAATGGTGGATGTGTTGCTCGATTTCGTGAATTAGTTGAAGTTAGATGTTAACACCATTGGATGACGGCTTTGTCATCTAGATATTAAGCGTTTGCGCGCGAAACAGATAGGTCCTGGGTTCGAGTCTCGCGAAGTGGGAGCGCGGACACGCACTTCCACGGAAATGTCCCACTATGGGACAAAACGGCCGTTCAGTGCTCTCAGGTTTTCCATGGTTGTCTACCTCTAATTGATTCATGATCTCAACTATTAATACATGAGTTCAGCATTTCTACAGAGGAGGAGGAGAAAGACAATATGAATCGCCAAAATGCCGTATTGAACGAGAACTCAAGTAGGGACAATCAACTATGTTTGAATGCAGAATTACAGAACGTCTTAGTAAAATCTGAGAACCAGACAGTTAAATACTTCATTTGTAAAATGTTCATTAATTGTCGTAGACTTCATTTTTCTTTTATTTCAATACCAATCTTAGTATCAAACATTCCAAAAACGTATATCTATGACCACACCAGAGATAGCATTACTGACACTTCATAACAATAAAACAGATGTATTAGCTTCGTTTGAAATATATATCTAATCTCGTTTTTGTCTGATCTTTCTAGTGTCAATCGTATTCTGTCAATCAAGTTACCGTCTGTCTAATTGACTGACTAATTACTTGAAATATGAATTATATAGTGATGATTAAGTTATATATATCAAGGTCAGGAGCATATACCATACTTATATTTGTCAGCATAAATAGCATACACCACAGATGTACATTTATGAATGAGTAGCCAATAAATGCTTCCTGTATATTGTTAGTTTTCCCAATCAAATAACAGGTAGGTCGTGCATTTAACAGGCAAATATCTCAGTAATGAAGTTAAATAGCATTCGAACTTAACTACCATCAATTGGGTTACATACAGTCCAATAGTCAATGAATTATTTTTCTGGTTAGCGTTTTTTTCTAACGTCAAATGCAGACGTAAAGGCAAGGATTAGCAAAGCAAGGACAGCATTCCTACAATGCAAGAACATATGGAACTCAAAACAACTTTCAACCAATATCAAAGTCACATTCTTCAATACGAACGTCAAGACAGTTCTACTGTACGGAGTTTAAACGTGGAGAACCAATACAACCGTCATCAAGAAGGTACAATTATTTATCATTAGTTGTCAACGCAAGATACTCAACATCCATTGGTTGGATACCATCAGCAACAGCCTTCTGTGAGAGACAAAAAACCAGCTTCTAGATACTAAGGAAATTAGGAAAAGACGTTGTAAGTAGATAGGACATACATTCGGGATATCATCAAACTGCATCACGAGGCAAGCCCTGAAGGGAAGTGGAAAAGAGGAAGGCCAAAGAACACATCACATCGGGAAATAGAATCAGACAAGAAAATGATGAATAAAGACTGGAAATTACTGGGAAGGATTGCTCAGGACAGGGCTGGATGAAGAGTGCTGATGGGCAGCCTATACTTCTCCACGAGGAGTATCAGGCGTAAGTAAATTATAGTCATTGAATGACCACGTATGATACGTTTTAGATATTCTGTAATTTAAATTGCATATCAGTAACTACTATTCAATGTGAAAATCTCATCTTCTTCAAGACTATAGATACATTTGATTGATGAGCACTGGCTAACATGACACCTTAGTTAAATACACCTTCCTGTCGGTTATTTTTAACAGCCTTAGTTACTAACTTATCAACACAACTCTTTTAAAGTCTGTATTATAAACAATGAATTATTCTGAAGAAAAAAGAAACTATTTCTTACACCATTTGATTCCATTTTGTAATCAATATCATAATTATTATTATTATTATTATGTTGGTGATTCGCAATCAATTTCTTCGGAGTTTTCATATTGGGTTTCGGTAAAAAATAATCATTAATTGCAATCAATAATTCAAGTACAGTATCTTTATCCCCTTCCATGATATCTGTAATAAGATAATTGTTTTTAGAATAAAAAAAAATAGATAATAAATCACAATGGATATGAAACAGAAGAAAACAAATTGTGTGTTTCATTAGAATAGATTGATACGGGTTGCTAAGTTTGTTTTAGATTGTTCTTAGTCGCTTCCCTTACATTCTTTTGCGTATCGTTTTATACTACTTATTTATATTCAGTAAATAGTTGTATTCTCAGCAATTTATTAGACTTATGTTGAAACGCCAGTTTACATACATAAATAACGTTTATTGTATTATCATTGTATTTACTTTATATTAATCACTGAAGCAGTTTTCTACAGCTTTGTGCATTTGTTTGAACGCAACAGTTTCTTTATTGTTTTGCTCTTGGTTTGGGTTTCCCTTGTTGATAAACTGTTCGCATAGATATCAGCTGTCTTTTGTACTATGGTACGTTGTAATTATTCTTTATATTACCGTTACAGGAAGCTTTTTTATTTCATATAAAGGACGCGTTAAACGTCACAGACATCTCATAACTTGAGGTTTGTAACTCATTTTTGTGTAATATTCTGTAAAGAACCGCTATTCTAGACAAATCGTTATTTTGCAAATTTCGGTTCTGTGCGCATCTCAATTGCGTGAGATGGATGCTTCGATAGATGTAACAGTGTAAATTGGTGAAATCTACGACACA